TTTTCTGAAGATAGGATGATTAATAATTTTCACAGAGACATGTATCTGGGTTAAATTAGAGAAGACACAGTTTGTCGTACCGTATGTACTCCAGTGCTGGGTATTATTGAAAATGATACAGTAAAGATTTGAAGCCCACCTGCAATCACAGAACTTGAGAGGCAGACAAGAGGATCATCAGTTCAAGACCAAGCTGCTGCTACATTAAGCCAGGCCAGCCTGGGCTACATTAAGACTGGCGGTTGGTGGCACATTCCTCTAATCAATGCCAACTTGGTCTAAAGAGTGAGTTCAAGGCCGGCCAGGGCTACACAGAGAAACCTTGTCTTAAAAACAAAAACAAAAACCAACCAAACAAAAACGTGACACACAGACACAAAAACAAGAACAACACTGTCTCAAAAAAAGATTTGAAAGATTACAGAGCCAACATTAAGTTAATTTAAATCTTGTTTTGATCTCTTATTTTAGATAAATTAAGAACATAGGGTGTTGGGCCTAGGGTGGTGGCCATACCTTTAATCCCAGCCCTTGGGAGGCAGAGGCAAGTGATCTCTGAGTTCAGGTCCAGCCTGGTCTATATAGTGAGTTCCTGGACAGGCAGGCTACATAGGGAGACCCTGCCCTGCCTCACCTTATTCCCTCCCCAAAAGAAGGAAGGGGCGGCAGGAGCAGCTGTGGCTGCTGATACTTTTGCCCGTGTGCCTGTGGAATGCCGCTAACCCTGAGTTCTGGATTCCAATGCTGAGGTCCCTGCACACCGACCCTGGCTTTACTCAGCAGCAAACACCTGACTGCTGTGAGTCTGGTTCTAGTTTCCCGTTCCTCATCGTCTCCGCTGCACTCTGGAAACTGCTTACCTGATGTTTGTGAGGCTGGCAACAGTTATTTCTCTGGTTTTCTACTACATTGAGAATTACCTTAGTTTTGTTTGTTTGTTTGTTTGTTTTGAGATAGGGTCTCATTCTGTATCCTTGTCTGGCCTAGAACTCACTGTGTAAACGAGGCTGGCCTCCATCTCCCAGAGATCCACTTGTCTCTGCTTCCAGAGTGCTGGCATTAAAGGCGTGCGCCACCATGTCCAGCTATCTTCATTTTTAAATACAATTTTTAAAATTGAAAACAATCTCACTGATTATTTTGAACTAAGATAGTAATGGGTAGGTAATAAATTACTCATCATTTGGTGTTGAAAACCTGCAAGTAAACAGAGGGACTTATATGTGTGCTACTAATTTTCCCAGTAAAATGTGTTAGAGTTGCTAGCAGTTACAAAATTATGCTCTGAAGTAATACAGTGTGGTGACTGAGTGTACCCCTTACACGTCAGCACAGCATGTCGATCCCGAACGATGAACTTCAAATGCATGGCCCTAGGGTATGTTTGATGGCAAAGCGAATGCTGAGCATGTGCTGCAGTACTCAATTCAGTCCCCAGTGCAACAGAAAAACAACTATATCCCCATTGCATTAAAATGAGTTTTAAGGTAGGTGAGATGGCCCAGCCAGTCAAAGTGCCTGCCACCGAGCCTGATGGTCTGAGTTCCAGCCCAGAAACCGCATGTTGGAAAGAGAACCAAGTGAGTTGTGCCAGTTGTCTTCCTCCCTCCACACACATGCCTTGGCATGCACATGCCCACACACAGAATGTTAAAAAAAAAAACACCTTAACTGTGTTTTAATGTTCTTCAGGAGCTCGTCTTCTGTTCTCATCACGTGTATTATCTTAAAAACGCAGGAAGAGGGGCTGGAGAGGGGACTCACAGTGTGCGTGCTGCTGCACAATCCTGAGGACTGGACTTTGGATCCCAGCAGGCGCATAGCAAGCTGGGCATCCTGTGCCTGCCTCTGAGTGTGTGTGACCTTGCACACACGCAAACACACACACACACACACACACACACACACACACACACACACACACAGAGTTACGTCTCCTTCCTCTCCAGGCAGTGGGTCCTTTCATGGTCAGTCTCCTCATTCCTTACTTTTAAACTCTGAAGGGAAATAGGATTAACCCTCCTGCTTCTCTGCCAAGAGAATCCTGAACCCAAATGAAGCGGTAGATTTAACAGAAGCAGGGGCTTAATTCGGACTGCTGAATTTCCAGAGGATCTTGAGAAGTGTGGCTCATCAGAGAGCACACACTGACCATAAAGAAGGGGTGGAGGGAGAGGGGCGAGCAGCACCCGGTACTGAGGGTACTGAGCGGATGATTAAATAGCTGGGATCAGGTCCATCGGCTTCTTAAAGCCCAAGGCCCATTTTCTTGCCCTTTGATTTCCCTTTTCTTCTGTGTGTTTTTGCCAAATCATGTTTTATTTAAGGAAAAATATCACGGGAAATTTTCTCAAAATTTCATTTGCTCTGTGTGTGTGTGTGTGTGTAGGTCAGAGGACGGTTTGTGGTAGTCCGTTCTGTCCGTCTGCCCTGTGGGTTCTGGGGACTTAGTCAGGCCTGGAGGAAGAGTCTTCACCTGCTGCTGAGTCATCTTGCTGGCTTGGAAAGTTTCTTCTTTCACATTAAAAAACAAAACTTTTCTTTTTAATTTTTATTTTGTGCCTGTGTGCATACCCATGGAGCACACACATGGAGGACAGAGGACAGCTCCGGGAGGCAGCTTCCTCATTCTGCCATGTTGGTTCCAGGGATTAAGCGCAGGCCGTTAGGTTTGGCAGCAATTGTCTTCCTTCACCCACTGAGCCTCCCTGGCCGGACAGGAAAACTTTCAAAGCTCATTTTCCCTTTGTTGTGTCCGGCAAAAATCTTACTTTGTTTCTGTGTTCTCCCTCCCCCTCCCCCGTGTAATTTTTTGTTTATGTTTTTGTTTTTACATCCTGACCAAAGTCTCCCGACCCTGCCGTCCTCCCGGTTCCTCTCTGCACACCCTTATCTTCTGCAGTGGTTAATAAACTCCTATTGGAACTTTACCCTGCTTACTAAGTATTTAAGTTAGAAGCCTGCAAAACAGGAAGCTTTAGAAATATTAGTTTGTTCTTGCAGCCTGTGAGAGAGAATGTGTGTGACTGTGAGTCAATTCCAGAATGATTTCAGTATGCTTAGAAGTAGCACGTAACCTGTGAATACATTTGATAGCTCAGATTCGAGATGCTCTCTGCCAGCTCATGAGTTTGCTGCTAAAGACTGGATAATTGGATAATCTTGCATGTAGCTGGTGGTAGATGATCTGCCCACTTGATCTCACTTCCTGCTGTGGCTCCCTCACCATGCCACTCTGGCCTTGCTGGCCTATCCTAGCAGAGTGCATGCCCCTGGGCCCTTGGATTTTCTGTTCTCTGTTCTTTCCCCTGGTATCTGTACAGCTCACTTCCTGGTTTTACTCAAGTCCCTGTTAGATGTAGCAACTGGAAAAATGACCCCTAGTTTTTCTGTCTTTTGGTCTTTGTAATTTTTGTCTCTCCAGAGCTGGAGCCTGAACCCAGGGAGACACACACAATAAATAAATGTAATAAAATAGCATTCTCTTACTCAGTTGCTGCTTTCCACCCCCACCTGTGTGTGTGTGTATGTCTCTCTCTCTCTCTCTCTCTCTCTCTCTCTCTCTCTCTCTCTCTCTCTCTCTCTCTCTCTCTCGACCAAGTCTCACTAGGTAGCCCAGGTTGGCCCCAAAGTTTGACCCTTCTGCCTGAGCTTCCTGAGTGCTGGTGTCCTAGGTGAGCCACCAATCCCGGAAGCTGTTTTCTTTTCAGCACCGACTGAACATAATGTTTGGATCTGCCCGTAGTGTCTTTAAATGTGAGAGCAGACTTGGCTTTGTTACCACTGTCCCTGCCACACAGGACAGCATTCAGTAGACAGCAGGCACTCAATTGTTAAATAAATTGCCACTGATGACAGTATTTCAATAACCTGCCCTTCACCTTATTATGTATGGCCTTTGGAAATTGCTGCCTTCTGCCTTGGAATTTCGTAGACCTCATTACAAATGAGCCAAGTGCTAATGCCCAGTTTCTCTGGTTTTGCTCCTTTTAGGTCTCAATGTGGCCCAGAAGCCGTTTGGAGCCACGTACGTGTGGAGCAGCATTATAAACACGCTTCAGACCCAAGTGGAGGTGAAGAAACGGAGGCACCGCTTAAAGCGGCACCACGACTGCTTCGTGGGCTCCGAGGCGGTGGACGTCATCTACGCTCACTTAACTCAGAACAAATTCTTCGGGGAGGTCGAAATCCCTCGGGCCAAAGTGGTGAGGGTCTGCCAGGCACTCATGGACTACAAAGTCTTTGAAGCGGTCCCCACCAGAGTCTTCGGGAAGGACAGGAAGCCTGCCTTTGAAGACAGTAGCTGCAGCCTCTATAGGTTCACGACTCTGCCAGGTCAGAACAGTCAGCCAGGCAGCGAGAACCAAGTGTGCCCACCTTCCAGGTGAGTCCCGCTCTTACGGCATCGTGGGCGCACTAGCAGAATTTTCTTCTACTTTTTTTTTTTTAAAAGATCGTAAGTGATAATTTTGGCTCCAATCTAAATGCTGGTAAATTTAATAAAATATAGCAAAATGTTGATGTACCAGGCACATCCTAGACTGCATTTGTTTGTACTTGTATTTTGCCGGAACAGTCACCAAACTTTGTTTTTCTGTCTCAAGTTATAGTAACAGTGTAAAAAAAATGGAAATGTGTGTACAAAGTGGGATGAGAACAGAGAGAAAGGAAGGGCAGGTAGAGAGACACCAGCCCCTAGGGCATCCTGAGATCTCGAAAGTGGAGGCTACGGGGTGTGAACGGGGAATGAGAGCTTCGTGTGACACGTTAAAGGATTTGTGGGCTTTTGGTCTGGCGGTTTGTTTTGAATGTTTGAGACAAGATCTCCCCAAATGTCTCAGATGTTCATGAATCCCTGAGCTCAAGCCAGCCCTCTCCCTACAGATGTGTGCCACTGCTCTGGCATGGTAAGGAACCTGGGACTTGGTCATAATAGGTGTTGGGAAGGCCACAAAAGACGTTCAACAGGATGGAACCATGTGTTAGAAAGGTCACCTGGGGCTGGAAATGGTGCTACGTGGTGGGGAGAACTAGGTAAGCAGTGCTGCAGGCTAGGGAAGGTGAGGCTAACCAAACGTGGGGGAGGGAAGAGGGGGACCAGAGAGACAGCGTGGGACCAGTGACTGGCATGAGCGCAGGTGAGGAGTGTGTAATGAGCTCATGAAGTACAGAGTCGGTCTTTTCCTTCGTTGTTGGAGCGAGGCTGTAGAGACAGTGATTCGATGCTCTGGTTCAGCTCTGACCTTTGGGTATTGACTTTTCAAATATTTTTAAGTCTCTCAACAAAATGTATCTCTATAGACACAAGCAAAGGAGATAAGGTAAAGTAGAACATGGTCCCCATTCTTCAAGTGCATCGTCATGCTTTGTTTGGAATCCTTGAGACCAAAAATGTATAGTAATTTGCAATTGTGATGATTTTAGAAAGGACCTTTTGTATATAAATATTATACAGTACTATTACGGTCTTCAACACTGTGTGGTAATGAAACATATTAATATTTCTGTGACAGAGGACTATTCATACCAACTAGGAACCAAAGACCAATTTCAGGGTTTTGTTTTCTTTGGTGTTTGTTTTGAGATGGCCTCACTATGGAGCCCAAGCTGACCCATAACTTGGTGTAGATAGCAACCCAGGCTCACAGTAAACTCCACATTCTCTCGCCTCTGCCTCTGGAGGGCTAGAATTAAAAGTTTTACCACCAAGCCTGGCTCATTTTTGTTATGTTTTAAAATTGGTGATAAAATTGTAGTCATTGAGTTACACCTAAATAAAGGTCCACAGGAGATTCTATTTAGAGTGTTTGCATTTTAGAGCTGGGTGGAGTGGTACCTGCCTGTAATCCCTGGATCTGGGATGTGGAGGCCAGAGGTTCAAGAGTTCAGGGCCAGTTCCAGCTACATAGTGAGTGTGAGACCACGGGGACTGCAAGAGACCCTGACCCCCCAAAAGAGTAGAGAGAGTATGAGGGGGTGTGTTTGGGTTGAGTAGAGACTGGAAAAGGATTTGCATTTATGTTCTGGTTTGGAAACAAGAGCTCTCTAGACACTGCCGCCCTCTAATCATTCCTGTGATTAAAACTTTATTTTAGGTACTCAGATACATTATTTAAGTCACCTGATATCAAGTCGGACAGTTTGGAGGACCTGTGGGAAAATCTGAGTTTAAAGCCTGCCAACTCCCCTCATATAAATATCTCTGCCAGGCTGTCTCCTCAAGGTAAACTAACGATGCACAGTGAGAAAGAGAAGTCTCAGTAGATACAGTTGTTGATGGTATTTCCTCCCAACCTTTATTTGAATTTTAATATTCAAGCAGAGAAAGAATATGCTGTGTGTTGAAGCTGTTTATGTTACGCTTCAACAGAAGTCTATTATCTTGAACAACACATCAGTGTTACAGCCCTTGAACACTGACTTTTGTCCATCAGCTGGCCGAGGTTCAAGTCTAAAATGTTTTGCATGCAGATTCTTACTCAGTATATCCTCCCAGATGTTTCGTTTTCTACGATTTTATTAGGTTACATGAAAAATTAAAAATCATAAATAGAATGTTCTTATGTTCTTCTTTGTGGCCATGGAATGCAGCCCGATGATTTTGATTTCCACTTAACCTCCCCCATCCTGGTTGTGTGGAAAGCCTGAGCAGAATACTCTGCAGCCAATGGATTCAAATGAGTTTTGAGGCTGAATGAACCATTCTTTATTCTAAAGCCCTTATTAACATGTTGTATGGCTTGATCTCTTATCTCTGACATATTGCTTTTTATAGTACAAAGAATGACAAGAATTCCTGTTGTCCAGAGCCTGTTCTCCTACACTTTCAACAACTAACTCTTGGATTGTCTTATAAGAAAGCACTCCATGAGTAAGGGTGGCCTGGTACCTCCTTTCTGCCACAAATTTAATAGACCTGCCTAGACAGCTCCGCAGTGAGCATGGAAGAGCTGTTAATTGTTACCTCCTGCTTTGTTTTCCTGTGTAGTTATTAATGAAGTATGGCAAGAAGAGACGATTGGACGTCTACTACAACTTGTCGACCTCCCGTTTCTTGACTCCTTACTCAAACAGCAAGAGACTGTACCTAAAGTCCCTCAGTCTAAGAGACAGCCTGGCGTGGTCAACACCACTAACTATCTGGACCGGGGGATTCTCAGGGCCTATGGTGACTCTCAGTATGTGTAAATAATATAATTACCTCAGTATGCTTGTGGGCAGAGTGCTTGCCCAGTGTGCAAAAAGCTCTGGGTGCAAGCCTTGCACTGATTAGAACTAGGTGTGGTGGCACACACCTGGTGTCCGAGCACTTAGTCAGTAGAGGCAGAAGCATTTAAGGTTTCCTTCAGCTGCGCAGCTAGTTTGAGGCCAGCTTGGGCTGCACGAGACCCTGTCCTCGTAATCCCAACACTGGGGAGACAGAGGCAGGAAGCTCTGGCAGTTTGAGGCCATCAGGGCCTCATACATACTGAGACTGTCTCAAAAAAAAAAACTGTGTGTGTGTGAATGTGAATATAAATCTCAAGATTTTAAGTCCTATAGTGCTAAGAGCAGACTTTTATCTTATGAGTTCCATGTTCCTCATAACTTGAAATATTCTTCTAAGGAAAATTATAAAAGGTCAAAATAGCTTCTGTGATTTCAGTTGATTTAATGTGTAATTATTTTGCCTCAGTAGGTAGTGTTCCAGTCCAGTTAAGGAGATGGACGTGGTTAAGGAGTACAACTTACTTTTTTGGTTCTTCCTAGCTCTGCATTTCAACACACTATTAATATGAATAGTTGAATGCTAACAGATAGTTATTAAAGAGCCCAGTGAGGTGGCTGTCACCACACCTTTAATCCCAGCACTCAGGAGGCAGAGGCAGGCAGATCTCTGTGTTCCAGGCCAGCCTGGTCCACATAGTAAGTTCCATGACAGCCAGGGCTACATAGAGAAACCCTGTCTGAAAAAAAAAATTAAAATTAAAAAAAAAATAAAAATTTAAGGCTTAAAGTCTTACATGGAAGTGTTGATCTTAACATGCTAACTGTTAAGTTCTGCATATATAATAGGAAGTTTATTCTACATGTTTATATTTCTATAACCTAAAGCAATGTGGAAATATACATATATTATATTATATTATATTTATTATATTATATTATATTATATTATATTATATTATATTATATTATATTATATTATATTATATTATACATATAATTTTGTTTGTTTCGTTTTTCAAGACAGAGTTTTCTTTGTGTAGCCTTGGCTTGTCCCAGAACTAGCTTGTTGACCAGACTGGCCTTGAACTCATAGAGATCTGCCTGTCTTTGCCTCCTGAATGCTGGGATTAAAGGCATATACCACCATGGCTTGATGGAAATATTTTTGTAATTATCTAAATATTCAGAATTTGTGCTAGAATAAAGATAATCTAGCTTCATCTTTTTTATAAATCCTAGCTATCTCAAGTCTATGGCAGTAGAGGACATATAACAAATTTATTGGAACACAGCATTTTCTGACTAGGGATGTAGCTCAATTGGTAGTGTTTGCCTCCCATATATGAAACCCTGGGTTTAATCTCCAGTGCCACATAATGGTAGCAGATGCCTGTGGTCCAAGCACTCAGGAGGATCAAAAGTTGGCCGTCATCCTTACCTACATAGTGAGCTGAAGGACAGCCTGGGCCACAAGAGACCCTAATCTCAAAAAGAAGAACATTTACCCACTGATTTAGTTATTTTGAAATGCTGTCTTTTATTGTATTCTATCCTAGCTAAAGCTAGAGATAACACATCATACATGTGGCTCTGAAGCTAGCAACATTGTATGGTAGAATTACAGCTTTAAGAGTCAGTCTGAAATGAGATGTCGATGGTATGTTGGTGGTATCACACATCTGTAATCCTAGCACTAGGGAGAATCAAGATTGGGTATTGTCGGACTTTCTTTTGAGACCACCAGCTCCCCAATAATTACACGGTGACTTCTTACTAAGCATGAAAGCTTGGCCTTTAGCTTAGGCTTGTACCCATCTAGCTCTTATAACTTAAATTAACCTGTTTCTATTAATCTACATTCTGCCACATGGCTTTTTACCTCCTCCATTCTGTATGTTCGACTCCCTCCGTGTCTCGCTGGCATCTCCTACCACTTGCCAGATTCTAATCCCGAGTTCCCCTCTTTGCCTGGAAGTACTGCCTATTCTCTCCTGCCTGGTTATTGGCCATTCAGCTCTTTATTAAATTAATCAGATACCTTAGGCAGGCAAGGTAAAATATAGACACATCTCCATGCAATGTAAATAAATATCTCACAACAATTGGGAGTTCTAGGTTAAGTTTTAATTTGGATGACCTTTACATCCTTATTGTAGTAGATATTTTTACACACAAGGAAAATGCAATTTAGCTAATTTCTTTGACCTGTCATACACAATTTAGGTATATAACAAATGATTTTACTGTATGTAAGTGTGGAAAAATTTATCCTGGTAGCAAGCATGAACTATCTTGGGAATTAGATACTATGTGTCTATGTGTTCTCTTTGCATTTTAAAATAACCCTCCTCTCCCTTGCTCTAGGGAAGATGAATGGATCTCTGCAGCCATCGACTGCTTGGAGTATCTTCCTGACCAGATGGTTGTGGACATAAGCAGAAATTTTCCTGAGCAACCAGACAGAACAGACTTAGTGAAGGAACTTCTGTTCGATGCTATTAGCAAATATTATAGCACTAGGGAGCCTCTGTTAAATCACCTGTGTGACGTCCATAACGGAATAGCGGAGCTCCTAGGTGAGGGAGCTCTGACCACACAGAGACCAAAGTTAATTGTCCTCAATGCGACCCAAAATAGAACTCTGGAAAGCTGGGAGGGGATCTGGACTCGTCTGTAGAGAATGTACTGAGCACATCTAGGGCTCCCACTGAGACCTTAGCCACTCTGAAGTTAGGGAACGTGGCTGCCTCAGGACACGGCTGTCATTTGCTGCAAGCTTAGTCAAGGGCGGCTGTTCTCACATTAGGAGGGTTGCCAGCCTGACCCTACAGCCTGTCAGAAGGGCAGCGCTCTGTTCTCCGGATCTGCCCGGTCCTGCTGTTTCTCGGGGATTTTGAAAACAAAGTCAGAGAGGCCCTTTTAGTTTTCTCAGTACACTTATCAGCAGCATTCTACACACAGTCCACTTTCAGGGTGTGCTCATGGGCAACAGTGGGAATTTAAGAAGCCAAGAGTCAAATCCAACACAAGGGCCTAGAGTATCAATTGCTGATTTGAGAGCAGGCTGTCTGTATGTGTTGGTCATTTGTTTTATTTTTATTTATTGAAATTGCACTTATTTGAAAGTGTTTGTGCACATGTCTGCCTGCATGCATAGCACATGTGTGGAGGGAGGTCAGAGGTCAGCCTCCGGGAGTTGGTTCTCTCCTGGTTTCATTCCCACTTTGTCTTTTAGTTTTTGCTTTTGGAAATAACTCTGAGGAAGTGTGCTACTTAGCATAAAGTGTAACAAGTTTTGTTCATCTTAGTCGAGTTTTGTTTGGTCAATGAAGCATTTGTTTTCTTTCGGCTGAAGTAAATGGGAAGACAGAAATAGCATTAGAAGCTACTCAGCTGTTTCTGAAGCTTCTGGATTCCCAAAATAGAGAAGAATTTCGAAGACTGCTGTACTTCATGGCTGTCGCAGCGCATCCTTCTGAATTTAAGCTCCAGGAAGAAGTAAGTCTGTGGTTAACTGTCAGGTGTGTGCAGCGTCTTCAGCACCCGGATGCTGCAGCGGGAGGTAGCTCTCCCTGTTTGCTCTCCTCTTAGCACTAGTGTTAGCTTTCAGTCTGTGCCGTGCGGCCTGTTCTTGTCCTTACAGAGTGACAATCGGATGGTTGTGAAAAGGGCGTTCTCCAAAGCTATTGTCAACAATAAACACTTATCCAAAGGCAAAACTGATCTCCTCGTACTCTTCCTAATGGATCACCAAAAAGATGTCTTCAAGGTCAGACCCCGACCGTAAGTCTTATTCATGCTTATTTGTAACAGATCTAAATGCACGCGAATAATGCCCTGTGTCCCTTCTTCCTAAGATTCCTGGAACGCTACATAAAATTGTGAGTGTTAAGCTTCTGGCCATACAAAAAGGAAGAGATCCTAATAAAGACACAGGTAATTTAAGACTATTATCTGCATGGTCCTTTTTTTCTTTTTCTTTTTCTTTTTTTAAATTTAAAGCATGAGCTCATCGTAGCCCAGGCTGGCCATGGCTATGTAGCAACAGATGACCTTGACGTCCTGGTCCTCCTCCCTCCACCTTCCAAGTGCTGGGACCACAGGTGTTTGAGGCTACTTCCAATTTAATGTTTCATCTTCTAAGGACAAGTCCGTAGTGCTGGCTGGAAAGTATTTTGCTGTGATTAGTTTCACCTAAATAATTTGAAACAGTCCCCTCAATTTTTTAGGCTTAGCAGAGTTCTTCCTGGGCTAAAACTACTTCAGATTCTTTTTTCTTGTTAATTTTGAAACCTTTAAAAGTCACATTTGCTTATTCTCTCTCTCTCTCTTTCTCTCTCTCTCTCTCTCTCTCTCTCTCTCTCTCCCCCCCTCCCTCCCTCCCTTCCTCCCTCTCTCTCTCTCTCTCTCATCTGTGTGTGGAGGTCAGAGGACAACATTCAGGAGTTGATTCTCTGCTTCCGCTGTAAGGGTCACAAGGATTGAACTCAGAACATCAGGCTCAGAGGCCTTTCCTATGAGCCATCTCATAGACTAGCTTAAACACCTTTGTTATTGTTGTTGTTGCTCTTTTGGGGGGGCCACCACCCAGCTCCCAAATAAATCACACACATAGACGTATTCCTACTTATGAATGCCTGGCCTTAGCTTGGCTTGTTTCTCGCCAGCTTTTCTTTACTTAAATTGTCCCATCTACCTTTTGCATCTGGGCTTTTCCCGTTCTCTTACTTCTGTAAATCTTACTCTTATTCCATGAGTGGCTGGGTGGCTGCCCTGTGGAGTTCTCCTCCTTCTCTGGCTACTTCTCTTTTCTATGTTCTCCCAGATTTCTCCTTCTGTGTATCTGCCTGCCAGCCCCGCCTATCCTTTCTCCTGCCTCACTATTGGCCATTCAGCTCTTTATTAAACCATCAGGTGTTTCACACAGGCAAAATAACACAGCTTCACAGAGTTAAATGCAACAAAAATAAACAAAAGCAACATGCCTTGAAATAGTATTCTACAACATATCTTGATTGCTGGGTAGTGGTGCACACCTTTAATCCCAGCACTCGGGAGGCAGAGGCAGGTAGATCTCTCAGAGTTCGAGGCCAGCCTGGGCTACACAGAGAAACCCTGTCTTGAAAAAGAAAAAATAGACCTTGATCAGGATTATTCTTACCATCCCCTTTGATTTATTTTATAGAATGTCAAAGGAAAAGAAAAACTACTGCATGATTTTTCTAGTTGAATGTGGGAATAGTCATTAACTGGAACTTCTTGCTTTTAAACCTTAAGGCTATATTTACTGCCAGAGAATTGATGGAAGGGACTATTGTAGCAGTACACAGAAGAAAACCAAAGACGAACTGTTGAACTTACTCAAGACTATTGATGAGGATTCAAAACTCTCTGCCAGAGAGAAGAAGAAACTGCTAGGCCAGTTCCATAAGACTCACCCAGACATCTTCAACGAGTATTTTGGAGACTGAACTTCTGGTGTCGGTGTGTATGTGCACTATGTATTTTAAGGACAAATTATGTAGCCTAAAGATATTTTTAGCTTGGATGTCTAAATATGAAGTTGTACTTAATAAAAAATTTTATACTTGTATGTGTCAAAAAACCATTACTCAAATGATGTATTGGTGTTAAGGACTAGATGAGTCCTTAAGGAGAGTTGATGTACAATTATTATGTTGAATTTATATAGAATATCATAGGGATTTAGAGGATATGACAGTAATATATTTATGTAAGAAAGTACTGGGGCTGGAGAGATGGCTCAGCAGTTAAGAGCACTTGTTGCTCTTGTAGAAGACCTGGGTTTAGGTCCCAACACCTACATGGTGGCTCACAGCCATATGTAACTCTGGTCTCAGGGGACCCAATGCCCTCTTCTGACTTCTGTGGACAATGTACACACACAGCACATCTACATCCTCATTCATATAAAATAAACACATCTAATAATAAAAGTATTCAACAGGAAGCCTACATATTAGTAGGGATTATGTTTCTGGTTTTAGTTTTCATTTTTTTTTGAGACAGGATAATGGTGGTAGAAAATGGCCCCCAAAGGGAGTGGCACTATTAGGGGGTATGGCTTTATTGGAGTAGGTGTGTCCTTGTTGGAGGAAGTGTGTCACTATGGGAGCAGGCTTTGAGGTCTCATATATGCTCAAGTTTTGCTCAGTGTGACACTCAGTCCACTTCCTGTTGCCTGCAAGATGTAGGACTCTCAGCTCCTTCTCCAGCACCATGTCCCACCATGATGATAATGGACTGAACCTCTGAACTGGGAGTGAGCTATCCCAATTAAATGTTTTTCTTTATAAGAGTTGCCGTGGCTCAGTGGGTAAAGACACCTGCCACCAAGCCTAAGAAACTGAGTTCGATCCTTGGGACCCACATGGGAGAAGGAGAGAACTTCCGTAGGTTTCCCTCTGACCACATACGTGTTGTGGCACAGGTGCCCACACACACGTAACACACATACCCGCCCACACATACAAAATCAATGTAATGGGAGATGTTTTCAAGTGGTAGGGAAAACTTGAAGACTGCCCCAGTCTGCTGGCATACTGTGAGTGATCTCCCTTAATAGCAGCTAGTCTTCCAACAGAAGGCTGAGGGCTCTAATATATATGATACCAGTTATCTTAGGAAAGCCAGACTTTTGGCACATGTAAGAAAAAGAGGCACCTTTAGAAGCGGTGAAGGAAAGAGATCGTGACTTCAGTGTGAGAGGAAGTTTGCAGAAGGAGGCTACTGAAACTGGAGAGATCCACACGTTGGCGGAGCAGCTGCACACTATCTGGATTGCAATCTTTGTTTTGCACATAATTAAAGCATGATTCTTTGGCTCCCAGAACTAACACCTTCAGGAAAAGACAGGAGCATTCATTTTCTAACTGCTAGCAGTGTTCATGCTTTTTTTTTTTTTTTTTAAAGATAGGGTTTCTCTGTGTAGCCCTGGCTATCCTGGAACTCACTCTAGACCAGGCTGGCCTCAAACTCAGAGATCCATTTGCTTCTTCCCCCCAAGTACTAGGATTAAAGACTTTTACCACCATGCCTGGCTCGTTCATTTGTGTGTGTGTGTGTGTGTGTGTGTGTGTGTGTGTGTGTGTGTATTGGCATTTTGCCTGCATCTATGTCTGTGCATAATGTGTGTGTGTGTGTGTGTGTGTGTGTGTGTGTGTGTGTGTGTTACCCACCAAGGTCAGAAGAGGGACTCAGATCCCCTGGAAATTGTATGCAGTTGTGAACTGCCATGTGGGAGCTGGGCATTGAACCCAGGTCCTCTAGAAGAGCAGCCAGTGCTCCTAACTGATCCATGGCTCCAGCACCTGTTAGAATCGACATTCTACCAGAATGTTCATTTCATGGAAAACATTAAAATAAAATCACAGTTTAAAGCCAGATATGATGGCCAGTGTCTAATCCCAGTACTTCAGAGGCTGAAACAGGAAGATTGTGAGTTGCAGGTTAGCCTGAGCTACATAGCAAGATCTTGTCTGGGGTGAGGGTGGGGCAGCATACCTCAAACTTTTCTTTTTTACTTAATGTAATTCCTTATTGAATCTTTAAGAATTTCACATCCTGTACCTTAATTCTGCTCACCTCCAGTCCCTCCACCATATCCTCCCCTCATCCCTGCAGTACTCCCCCCTCAAAAGAAAATTCAAAACAAAACCAAGACAAGCAAACAACAAAAAAACCACTTCATTTCATCTTTCCCGCCCCTCCAACACCTCTTCCTTCATCCTGGTGGCATTGGGAGCCACAGTGCATCACACAGTATACCCTTTTGACCTATCAGCTTTACTTGTAAATGTCCATTGCAATGAGTCATTGGTCTGGTTTAAGGCCTCTGGTTTCTGGTACATCGTCATCACTGGGTCCTCACCAAAACTCCTCTCAGATATCCCTCGGCCACCCCAAGTCATGGAGATCCTGCGGGTATCTTTCCATAGGACCAGTCCCTTCATGAGCTCCAGCAGGTCCTAGATGGGGTAGGTGTTAGGATGGACCAACCCCAGGCCCAACTGTGGGCCTGCGTGGTAGTTGAGCTGGTCAGTCCAGGTCACTGGGGCCGCCCTCCTTAGGCAAGGGGCAGAGCCAGCTCCCCTACACCCAGGCCATCGGGCCAGTTCTTGCTCACCCATGTAGGGAGTGGGGCCGTCTCTCCCGAGTGCAGGGAGGCAGCTCTCTTGCTGCATTGTCCAGTGAGGGGCAGGGGGAGGTACTCCAGAGCCAGCAAAGAGCGAGCCCAGCTCAGCATGGCCCTCTGATTTCATCACACCTGGTTCCCATGTTCCCCTGAGGTGAGATGGGCCACAGACATCAACACAGATCCCAGCTGCAGCAGGACCACAGACCCAAACATGGCCCTAGGCAGCAGCTTGGGCTTCCATGACACTCTGGCTCTGGTGGAAGCACAGCCCCTGGACACCAGCAAGGCCACAGGTGGTAGCCGGACCCTGGACTACCATGTCACCTTTGGTGGCAACATGGGCCTCGGACTTCAACATAGACCCCGGCTGTGGTAGGACCATGAATTCAGACATGGTCCTCAACAGCAGCCCAGGTCCGGACATCACCGTGGCCCCAGGTGGCAGCACAGGACATCCAGACCAGCATGGCCCTGGTGGCAGTGCAGCTCTCAGACCCTGGAAATCTGCATGGCACTCATGCTAAGAGGAGCCACAGATGTCAACACAGACCGTGACTGCAGTGGGGCCATGGACCCAGATGTGCATGACCCTCAGCTGCAGCTCTAGCCCGGACATCACTATGGCAACAGGTAGGAGCACAGGCTACTCAGATCTGTATTGTTGTAGAATATTATTTTAAGGTATGTTACTTTTGTTTATGCTATGGAACATTTGTTTAATGATGCAAAGCTGTGTTGCATTCTTTTATGTTGCGTTTGTTTATCTCTGTGAAGCTGTGTTACTTTGCCTGTCTAAAACACCTCGTGGTCTAATAAAGAGCTGAGCGGCCAATAGTGAGGCAGGAGAAAGGATAGGTGGGGTTGGCAGGCAGAGAGAATAAATAGGAGAAATCTGGGAGAAGAAAAAGAAAGAGCAAGAGAATGAGGAGAGGAGAATGTTAGGGGTCAGCCACACAGTCACAGAGCCACACAGTCTCTCAACCAGCCACAGAGTAAGAGTGTAAGTAAGATATACGGAAGTAAGAAAAGGAAAAAGCCCAGAGGCAAAAGGTTGATGGGGCTAATTAAATTTAAGGAAAGCTGGCTAGAAACAAGCCAAGCTAAGCCTGGGCATTTATAATTAAGAATAAGCCTCCGTGTGTGATTTATTTGGGAACTGGGTGGTGTCTCCCCCGCCTCCAAGAGAACAAAGAACAAAGAGCAAAAGAGTAGAAAAAATAACCAACAGGACTGTATGGCCCTGGCTGCACCATGGCCCCCAGACTCCAACAAGGCCATAGGTTGTGGCCCAGACCCCAGGCCTCCCTGTGGCCCCTGGTGGCAACGTGGGCCACAGACTTCAAAGCAGACCCTGGCTGCAGTAGGACCACAGATCCAGACATGGGCCTTGTCAGCAGCCCAGATCTGGACATCACCATGGCCCCAGGTGGCAGCACAGGTCACCAGATCAGCATGGCCCCAACAGTACCACAGCCCTCGGGCACCAACACTGCTCCAGGTGGCAGTCCAGAGCCCAGAAATCTGTGTGGCCTTCATGGCAACAGGAGCCACGGACATCAACACAGACCCTGCCTGCAGTAGGGCCATGTACCTCAAACTTAATAAGAATTTTAGAAATATATTACATTTATTTATGCATGTGTACTCAAGCGTGCAGGTCAAGATCAGCACAACTTGGAAGAGTAGATTTCTTCCGTCATGTGGAGCCTGGGATCAGATTCAGGTCATCAGGCTCTGCAGCAATCACCTTTACCCAGTCAGCCAGCTGACTGGCCCAAGAATAGGGTATTTTGGGGCTAGAGAGATGGCTCAGTGTTTAAAAGCAGTGCCTGCTCTTCCAGAGGTCCTGAGTTCAATTCCTAGCAACCACAGGGTGGCTCACAACCATCTCTAGTGGGATCTGATGCCCTTTCCTGGTATAAAGGTGTACCTGAAGATAGAGCACTCATATACATAAAGTAAATATTTAAAAAGAAAAAAAAAAGGATATTTCAAGGTAAATTGTTGCAGGATGTTGCAGAATATTATTTTAAGGCGTGTTACTTTTGTTTATGTCACATTTGTTTATCCTGTGAAGCTGTGTTGCTTTGCCTGTCTAAAACACCGTGTGGTCTAATAAAGAGCTGGCCAATAAGGCAGGAGAAAGAATTGGTGGAGCTGGCAGGCAGAGAGAATATACAGAGGGAGAAATCTGGGAGGAAAAAAGAAAAAAGGAGGGATCTAGCAGCCAGAGAAGGAGGAGGACTCCAGGGGCCAGCCACCCAGCTACAGTAAGAGCAAGATTTACAGAAGTAAGGGAACAGGAAAAGCCCCAAGGCAAAAGGTAGTTGGGATAATTTAAGAAAAGCTGGGTAGAAACTAAGCCAAACTAAGGCCAGGCATTCATAAGAAGGAATAAACCTCCATGCGTGATTTATTTGGGAGCTGGGTGGCAGGCCCCCCAAAAAGAATAAAACAATCAACAGTGGGATATTCAATCACTTTGTGAACCCCAAGTTTGTTTTGTGTTAATTAAATAAAATCAACCTTGGCTTGGGGGTGGAGCCAGCAACTAGTTGACCAGAATTAGCCATAGAGTCTAGAGGAGCCAGGAATACAAGAGTGGATCGCCAGCCAAAAAGCAAGGTCAGCTGCTTACTTCTTGCCCTCTCTGGTCTAGCAGGTTTTCACTTCTGCATCTGACTTCCGAGTCTTTGTTGGTAAGTAGAACCACAGAGATTAGTTTAAACCTACATATCAAGGCTGAGGCAGAGCCATGGCCTGAGTGACTGGCAGGTCGCTGACTGCGGGGTGGAGGGTGGGATGTGTGGGGCCGAAGATGATAATTAAAATATCAGCAGAGTCATGTGCAACTGCTAAGCCAATAGGAAAACATCAGTAAATCTATCATTTTCTGAAGACGTCATAAACTTCAAGGGCCGTGTGGGTCACTACAACTGCCCTTACCCCAGCTCGGTGGGTCCCCTCTTCACTCATTCATGATGTCTTCTACAGGGCTTGTCCCCATGTGCGTGCTCAGTGCTGAGGTGACTGAGCTTGGTCTCGGCTCAGCAGAGGAGACGGAGACCGAGCATCTCATCTGAAGGCAGCCTCCTACAGACTAAGGAGACAGGCTTTACGCAAAAGTCATCCTGAATGGCCAAATTCTACCCAGGCAAATCTAAAGCATGAGGGAGCATCACCAAGACAAACCTGAAATAAGGACCAGGCAGAGCGATCCTGTATGTCCCGGGAGGGTGACAGCAGCAGCTCACCCACGGGACAGCTGTTTCCTTTCTCTTTCCAGACCATAGCCTGGCACTGAACTCCCTTTATCTCAAGGTTAGTTTGAGTTTCCAATCCTTACAGCCAAAGATCAAACTGGCACATGTTTATAATACTTAAATTCACATGTGAATGTTTATAATATTTAAAGGAAACTTTTTAAGTATCAAGAGATTACAGATGAATCATCCCAAGTTGAAATGGAATGGCTTTGGTATCGTCTTATCCTTTCCAAGGGAGACTTGGTTTGAGAGACCCTTCAAGGAAGGCAGATGTCTCTCACAGTGTATGTGTGTTCCTCTGGCTGCATGGTAGAATCACCTGGGAAGTGTTTCATTCTTCTTGCCTGGCATCACCCACACAGTTTTCAGATGTCACAGTTTTAGAATTTCTTTTCCTCTTTGTTAGTTGTTATGTCTTTAATCCCAGTACTTGGGAGGCAGAGGCAAGTGGATCTCTGAATTTGAGGCTAGCCTGGTCTACATAGGGAGTCCCAGGCCAGCCAAGAGCTACATAGTGAGAAGACTTCCAAAAAAAAAACAAAAAACAAAACCCCACAAAACAAATGTCCTCACCAACTAGACATAGGCACATTAATCTGAATTCAGGAGAATTTGTTGTGGGATAGTTGAGAAAACTGTGTAAAGATGTGTTGCTGTTTTACCTTACCTGCCTAAGGCATCTGATTGCTTTAATAAACAGCTGAATGGCCAATAGCTAGACAGGAAAGGTTAGGTGGGACTTCCAGGCAGAAAGAGGAACTCGGGATGAATCTAGGTGCTTGAGGGAGTTACCAGTGAGACACGGAGGAAGTCGGACATAGAGAACAGAGGAGAGGTAAAAAGCCACGTGGCAGAATGTAGATGACTAGAAACAGGTTAATTTAAGTTATAAGAGCTAGTTAGGAACAAGCCTAAGCTAAAGGCCAAGGTTTCATAATTAATGTCTCCATGTCATTATTTGGGGGCTGGTGGTCCCAAAAGAAAGTCCAACAAGACCTATTACAAGAACTGAACGTTCAATTAGTTGAATGGCTTTTTATTTAGTTGTATTCTCCTAAAGTGGATCATCTGAGAACTGTTTTATTTTTAGTTGGTGTGGGCATACTATGTGTGAGCACACCAGCCACTGCTCTTGTGGAGATCAGAAGACCACTTTGTGGAGTTAGTTCTCTCTTTCCACCTTTATGTGGGTCCTAGGAATCATCTCAGATTGTCAGGCTTGCTTGTCAAATGCTTGCGGAGACATCTCGGCATCCCACGATGGCTTATTTATGTATTTATTTATATTTAGTGTGTGTGAGCCCATTCTCAAGTGTCAAGGCCCGGAAGTGGAGGTCAGGGGACAACTGTCAGGCCTCTGCTGTGTCCTTCGATGTGGGTTCCAGAGATCACGATGGGACAAAGGTCAACGGGCTTGGTGTCGGGCACCTTTACCCACCGAACAATCTCTCCAGCGCCGGTTTGCTTTTTAAAGATGTGTGTGTGTGTGTGCAGGTGCATGCTGGTACCCTGAGATCAAAAGAGGGCACGGGATCTCCTGGAGTTAGGTGTGGTTGTGAGCCACACCGTGTGCACGGAGCTCCGGTCCTCTGGAAGAGCATTAAGCCACGTCTGTTATAACAGAATATCCAGTGTGCCTCCTGGTACATGGTTTGAGAGGGCTATGCTGTACTATACCCAGGCTTAAATATTTTAGCAATAATTACATGGGTTTTAATGAAGTTTGAAAGCATTAATCCCATCCGTTCTAGCTATCTAAATAAACCCAGGTTTTATAGGCTACAGGTAGAAGACTTACTGCTTTGCTTTAAGAAATGCATAATTTATGCCCAGTTATAAAGCATTAAAAATAAACCCAGTTAAGTCACCTGACTTTTGCTATTTAAGATCGAGGCCGATAACAAAGTATTTGTTGGTGTAGTTGGTTTGGTATTTTAGTGCTGCAGGGTTCAAGGTGTGTGGGAGGTAGTGTTCTCAGTGCAGCATAGATCATGCGGGCCCCAACCTCACGGACCTACGGAGATGAGACTCCCGAGTGGGCTTGTCCCGGCATGGTGTTTAGGGGAAATGATCTTCCCCTCTGGAACGCAACTGCTCGGCGCGCTCACCTACTTTCTGAACAAACCCCGGGGGCGAGGGAACCGCCGCGCTCCTCCACCCCCTTTCATCGCGTCAGCTGAAGCCTGGGTCAGCTACACACATCCAAGGGAGCAACCACTCAGGCTCAGAACCAAACGGCATTGAGACGCAGCGAAGTGTGCAGGGTGTGTGTGTGTGTGTGTGTGTGTGTGTGTGTCTGTGAAGCCGAGTGTGCAGGTGTGTTGGGGGGGGAAGGGAGTGAAGTTGGAGTTGATGATGAAAAACTCAATTTTTTTGTGTGTGTGTGTGTGTGTGTGTGAAGCCGAGTGTTCAGGCGTGTTGGGGGGGGGGCAAGGGAGTGACGTTGGAGTTGATGAAAAACTCAGTTTTCGTGTGTGTGTGTGTGTGTGTGTGTGTGTGTGTGTGTGTGTGTGTGTCCGCGCGCGCGCGGCAAGACAGCGAAGATGGAATAGATGATGAAAAACTCAAACTTCACAAAGTCCTGGCAAGGAAGGTGGCTTCTCGGGCGCCTTCCCCTTTCCCTTCCCCTGACTAACGGCGCGCCCTCGCTTCACTTTTCTCCCGCGTCTCCGGCGGCGCGCCTCCGCTCTGCAGTACGGCAACATGGCGCCTCCCTGGGCGGCGGGAGCGACGGGGAGCCGCCCGCCGCCGCCGCCGCCGCCGCGCCCCTCGGCCCGCACCAGGCTCCGCTCCAGACCCCGCGCTGGCCTTATCTGCACACACAAACACGGTGCGGCTCGGCTGCGAGCCCCCGGTTCCCGAGCCCCTTCGTGACAGCAGGAGCGCTGCCGTACAGCAACATGGCGCCGCCCCAGGCCGGGCAGGCGCATCTCGGCTCGCACCCGCCTCCCACAGCCCAGCACTGAGGAGCGGTCACCGTGGCGGCTGCCCACCGCCGCGGGGCTGAGAGGACGGCCCGCAGCCCGACGAGCGAGCGAGCGAGCGAGCGAGGCAGTCCGGGAGGGGTGGAGGCCCAGGCGCCCAGCCCGCCGCGCGTCGCTCCCGCCCCTTGGCGGCGCCGGCCCCGCGGGATTCGCAGCGGGAGCGGCCGCAGGGAGATCGCCGACGCCGCGGCAGGTGAGCGGGGTGGAGGCCGGCGGGGCAGCCCGGGAGGCACGGGGAGGGAGCACCGGCGTTTCTTGGCCGCTCCCGGGCCGGTCGGGTCCCGGGGATGCCGGGTGGAGGCGAAGAGGAGACCGGGGCGGGTGGGAGTCCACCCTCCAGGCCGCACTCCCGGCGCGCCACCGCCTCGCCCTCGCCCGCCGAAACAGCTGTTTACAACGGAATCCGGACGAAGATTCGGCGCCAGTCGGGCAGAGACCTTTCTGTCACTGAATGGCCCTTTCTGGAGGATTCTTTTGTGCTCAGCTTGGGCCCGCGTGCAGCAGCTCCTGACAGATGCGAGTCCCCGTGCCAGGATCCGCCTCCCCTCGGTTTCCTGGTTAGGTAGCAGGAGGGTTTTATGATTGTTGAGTCAATGAATGAGAGCAATTAAAATAGCCCCCGGATGCACCTCCTGCTCTTAATTATAGTTGCCAGTCGTGGAATGGTGGTTGTATGCCAGCCTGTGGTCGCTGTGTAGACAGACTTATCCGTTAGATGAGGAGGTACGTAACTCCGTGGAAAACTGAAGTCACACAGCCTCTAAAGAGCCAGAATCGGATCTCAGGAGGGATGGAGAATAGGATATTTTAAGAAAAATGGATCGCTTTTACCAAAGGTATTGTCAGTTTCAAACCACAGGTTCAGCGCTACCTTCAGCACTTTGGGCAACCCCTCCCAAATCGTGACATCACACAGATGACACAGGGATTTATGTCTATCAACAGATGGGTATCTGTTTGCCGCCGTTGGGGGTGGTGCAGATAGACTAATAGAGTTTATGGAGAATATGATTGGTCTTGGTTGGCTCTTGAGAAGTTCAGAATCTAGGCGAAGAGTTTTGTTTTTGTTTTTTAAGTACAAATTAGCACTTTCCCCATCTGACCCCCAACTCTTCCTTCCCGTCTTCACTACTTGTCACATTTCCATTTCAGGTGCCATGGCTTCCGCCAGAGGAATGAAATACCCCCCCTTCCCACCTCCCATCCCCACCCCATCCCCCCTTTATAACTGGGTGAAATTCTACTCCTTGCAAAGATAGATCACGTGTCATCCTTTCTGGGAAGGTTTTCTCAGCTTCCTCCTGCTATTCAGAATAGCAAAGTCATGCTACTTTGTGTTTCACTGTGGCTCTTCTGCAAGCATGCCTGCCTCTCTCTGGCAGGATTGTTTTCATCTCTCTATCCCTATTTAAATAATCATATTTTGACTGGAATTGAAGGCAGTGATGAGTGCCAGCAGTCTAGCAGTCAGCCCTGCAGGACTTTGGAGGAAAGTGTAAACATGCATAAGGTTGGAGGAAGCGCCCTGGGAGGAGACAGAACCTGAACGGTTTGGGGGGCTGTCTACTGAGTTTAAAGGAGTCTTGTTTTTCGGAGGAAAGTGTAAACATGCATAAGGTTGGAGGAAGCGCCCTGGGAGGAGACAGAACCTGAACGGTTTTGGGGGCTGTCTACTGAGTTTAAAGGAGTCTTGCTTTTCCTCCTCTCTGCACCCACCGAATGACTTCATCATCTGGGCTGCTCCTTGGCATGTGAAGAGGGTAAAGTTAGGTGTGGTTTTCTCTCTTACGGAATCTGTAGGTGATGTTATACATTGGGTCTGTCGCACTTCCAAACTCTAGGAGGATTTAGGACAGTGAAGAGATGGTTTTGGAAGGAAACCTTGGGTCGGGTGTGGTGGCACTTGCCTTTATCCCAGATCTCAGGAGGTAGGGGCAAGCAGAGCTCTATGAGTTCAGGACCAACCTGGTTAACTTGGTAAGTTTCTCTGCAGCCAGAGCTACATAGAAAGACCCTGTCTCCAAAGGGGAGTGGGCACTGGATTCGAAAGGTGAAATGCACCTTGACATGGTGGTACCCCTTAATCCCAGCCTTTGAGAGGCAGTGGCAGGCGGCTCCCTGTGAGGTGGTGACCAGCCTGTTCTCTGTATAGAATTTCAGGCCAGCCTGGGTTGTGAGACCCTGCCTCCAAAAGTAAACAAAAATAAATGACGGAAGGTACTTGAGCACTTAAGGGTGATTCTTTTGCTCTCAGTCCAGGGCTGTAACCTGTGGCAGCTGGTCACATTACATTCTTTGTCAAGAAACAGAACCAACAAATGCTGGTGTATCGTTTCCTCTCCTTTTGTTAGACCAGAACCCAGCTCAGGAAATGGAGAGTCTTCCCATCTCAATTAACATAATCAGTCTCTCACAGGCATTCCTGTGAGCCAGCCTAATCTGGACAGTTCTCACAGAGGGTCCTTTCCAAGGTAGAAGCTACATATCACCAAGTTGACAGTTGAGACCAACCATCACAACAGGCCTGGGAGTTTCAATCCCAGTAACTTTATTCTATTTAATGGAGGCCTCTGGAGATTTTAGATAATTATATCAATCGACTCTTTTCTCCAACATGCAGAAGAGAAGTGTGCCAAATCTCCTTAAAACAGCCTACATTTCCTTAGATACTTGATTACCTGCCGAGCGTGTAATTCGGCTGAATTAGTGTTTATGACGATAGTTTGTGATCTTCTGGGTGTAATTAGTTCAGTATTGTAAAGGCAGAAGCATTGTCTTTCTTAACTGGAAATGTCCTAACAACAGAGAAAGGTGGGGAGGACTTAAAAACCTTTCATGTGATTGAAAGACTCCTTGATGGAGTTGAAGAGGTGGCTCAGCAGTCCAGAGCGCTGGCTGCTCTGCGGAGGTGGGGGGCGGGGGCAGATTGGTTCCCACCACCCATGTGGCAGCTCACAACCACCTGTTCACTCCAGTTCCAGGGATCTGATGCCCTCCTCTGGTGTCTGAGGGCACTGCACACACATGGTCCACATATGTGCAGGCAAACACTCATACATATAAAGTAAAAATAAGTCAGTCTTGGGCTGGAGAACTGGCTCAGCAGTTAAGACCACTGGCTGCTCTTCCAGATGTTGAAGGGTTGATTCTAGCACCCACATGTTGTCTTACAACCATCGGTAACTCTAGTTTCAGGGGATCCATTGCCCTCTTCTGAGCAGCTTGGGCATCAGGCACATATACAGTGAGTGCACAGGTATACATTCAGGCAAAAACACGCATACACATTAAATAAATCTTCTGAAAAATGCCTTTATTAACTGGACTAGAGTGTCAGGTTATACTCCTGTTCTTATCAGCAGCTAATACAGTGAAGACCCCTGTCACATTCATTATGATTGCTACTCCCTACTTTACTCATACGCTGTTCCTGTTGATTAGCAACTACGTAAAAATATAAGCTGGTTGGTGGTGGTTCATGTCTTTAATCCCAGTACTCGAGGCAGAAGCAGGTGAATCTTGTGAGTTTGAGGCCAGCCTGGTCTGCAGAGTGAGTTCCAGGACAGCCAGGGCTACCCAGAGAAACCCTGTCTCAAAAAACAAATTGAAAAAAAAAATATATGCCCCACACATTTCTCTTAAATACTTCATAGAGTCTAGACAGTACTATTTGTCACCCCCATTTACTTTTATTTATTATTTCATTTGTTTTTTGAGACAGGGTCTCATTTTGTAGGTTGGGCTGTCCTGGAGCTCTCACTCTGTAGACCAGGCTGGCCTGGAATTCACAGAGACCTGCCTGCGTCTCCCAGTTACTTTTTTAGAATCTAAGGGAAAAGTTGTGGGTGAGTACTCACCTGTGCATGGACATAGAAGCCAGAGAGATCAACTTTGAATATCTTCCAGGCATGATTAAGTGCCTGGTTTCAGTGGGTGCAAGGGATCTGAATTCAGGTCCTCAAGCTTTTAGAGAAAGCACCTTACCTACCCAGCCATCTCTCCAACTGCCATTCCCAGGTATCTTTATCCACACAATAGGACTAGAAGCCATCCATCTCCTCAGCACAGTACTGGAAGGTGGCTAGAAGCATTGTTTCCAATGATTTGCTTTTTGGTGATGTTTATTTTTTCTTAAGTGACCCTGGTCCTGAAGTTGCTCCGTCCTCCGCCTCCCAAGTGCTGGGATTACAAGAGTGTGTAACCAGGCCCAGCTTTGAAGGACTCTTCCTGTAAGCTCCAGCCATGAAAGTAAAGAGTGTTAGTTTCAGGTGGGTGTGGTGGTGCACATCTGTAGTCTTAGCATTTATGAATTGGGGGCAGGAAGGTCATGAGTTCAAGGCCAGACTGGACGACATAGACAGCCCAGGGTCAGTAAGGGCTATGTAGGGAAATACTGTCTCTAAATAAAGACTTAAGATTGAGTCACCACTTCCTTTGATTAAAGCAGGAGCAGGCAGTGTATGTCTTCTCTCCGTTTAAGCCCCTCCCCCCACTTGTGACATGTTATTCAGGAGTGGGATACAAATATTCCAGCGATCCTCAAGACTTACAGGTGCCATTGCTTAAGTGTCTTTGATTACTGAGGTAGAGTGTAAATGATTAAAACTTCTGAAAGCCTGTTGAGAGAACCCAAACTCAGAGACCTGGCTTTGTTCGTCAGCTAGTGACCGGTATGCATATGTTTGGCTCATTGTCTTTCTTTCCTAGAAGAGTGAATAGACTTCACTGAGGATGTCTGAAAACCTTGACAAGTCCCATATAAATGAAGCAGGAGAGTCAAAGCCTGACTCTGAGCAAGGCCTGGAAGGTGCTCTGGAACGTTCTGATGAAGCTTTACAGAAGAAAGTGAAGTCGGACTCACCTAGTCCCCAAAGAGTGGGAAGACCTCACTGTAAGCGAACCCGACTTTGAAAGCACTGATTGTTGTTTCCGAACGAAGGGCTTCCTGGTTCCTGTAGCTCTCCTCTAAGATCTCGGACTAGACGAGACTGCCCATGGTTAGCAGTTGGCAAGAGCAAGAGTTTCCCGATGGCAGCCTCGCTCCTTGTGGGTGTACAATTGCATGAGAAGTTAAAGTGTGGGAATAATGTCCAGAATGTTCCTGTCTCTCCCCGGCCTCCCTTTCTCAGAAGTAGTCTGAGAAACAGGAGGGTGGAGTGAAACTATAGCTTTAGTTAAAAGAGTGAAAAGTCTGAGGCTCCTAGGAGCCAGGACTGTGCTTATGCAGGTTTAAAAAAAAAAAAAAAAGAGTGCTTTACCACACCCTAAATTCATTTCCCCAGGGCTTGGTTCCCACAGGCAGAGGGGAGTCAGTTTGCTGAGTGAAGAAATCATTTTAGGTCCCACAGGGAGGAAGTCTCCTGGATGAAAGGTGACGGCTCTGCCCGTGTAACCAACAGTTGCCTGGCTCGAGTCTTTTCACAAACCTTTTGAAGCAAATCCAAACATGCAGGTCTTAGAGGGAGTGTCATCGTCCAAGAATGCCAGGGTTGATGTTATCAAAGGGTAAAAAGGAACGGTTGTTCTGCAGACAGGGAAGGAGGTCACAGATTTGGGGTTTTGAGGTATGTTTCCAAAATCATGAAAGCCATTCCTGAATAACTAACTCATCAGTCAACATAGGGTTCTTAGGGCACATACGTACAAGGGGCCCATTTCTTAGTTTATGGTCACATAGACTGATAAGGGTAGCACAAATTGGTGTTTATGTAGGAGTTGCGGTCTCAGATGTGTGTAGTTAGGGAGGTGGTTTCCCATCTTTAACATGAGGCACTCTGTCCCCTAGGGTAGTTACGGACATGAAATGAATTCATGTAAAGCACTACAGATGGAGCTTAGAAGCAGTAGGTGCTCCATAAACATCAGTGGTTGTCACTACTGCTAACTAGTATCATGTCTTCTGTTGCATTTCTGATGGCGGGACTGGGTGCTGTAATGTGGAGGCTATAATTTGAGTCGGAAATGCCCTCCATTGGCCCATGTGTTAAAAGCTGGTATTCAGCTGTGGCATTCTGAGGAGTCGGTAGAAACTTTAGGAGGGAGGGTCACTGGTGACTGCCCTTCAGGGGGTGATTGGGGCCCTGGCCACTTCTTCATTCTCCTTTTGCTTTTGGCTGAGTTGAGTAACTATTCAGTCATGTGGACCCTGCCATTGTGTGCGGCTCACTGCGGACCCCAAAGGATGGCTCTACTAGATCTCTACTAGATCTGGAACTTTCAAAACCGTAAGCCAACCCCCAACCCGAATGATTTTTTGAGGTCCAGCCTCATGTAGCCCAGGCTGGACTCAAACTCGGTAGTTAAGGATAATCTTGAACTCTCGATCATTCTGTTTCCATTTCCAAAGTGCTGGGTTACAGACTTGTACTACCATACCCAGCTTGTATGTATGTATGTATGTATGTATGTATGTATGTATGTATGTGAGTCAAGGTCTCACTCTGTAGACTAGGCTTCCCTGGAACTCACTTTGGGCTTGGCCTCAAACTCATGTAGTCTAACTGCCTCAGTTTCTGAGTGCTGGGATTCCAGGTGTAAGCTACCACACCCAACAACTTTGTCTCTTAATGAGTTCATTTGTCTCCAGCACTCCCTACAGCAGCAGAAAACTGACTAACAAGATATAGACTGCTAACATAGTTTTTATTAACTGTAATTTCTAATAAAGACGGGGTTTCTGGTTTATCTTTTCAGTTATTCTGTGAAGGACAGACTTTCTTTTTGGCATTCTGTCAATGACAGCATGGCTCTAAATTAATGCAAAGTTAGTATTAGGCTACACTATTTGAAAATACATGTGGTTCTGTCTAAGGCAAGAGTATTTTCCTAGCATCTATGACCAAATTTTCAAGGAGTCAGAAGCTGCTAAAAAAAAGACCCAGGTTTTGTTCCCAGCATCCACGTTGGGTGATTGACAACTGCCTGTGACTCCAGCTTCAGGGAATCGAATGTTTTTTTACCCCTCTTTGGGTACCAACACTCACATTCATGTAGATGTGCACAGACATATGCTTTTGTTGTTTTTTTGGGACAGGGTTTCTCTGTGTAGCTTTGGTGCCTGCCCTGGATCTCACTCTGTAGACCAGGCTGGCCTTGAACTCACAGAGATCTGTCTGGCTCTGCCTCCCGAGTGCTAGGATTAAAGGCACATGCCACCACTGCCTGGCCCCATATCATTCTTTTAAAAATTATTTTTTAAATTTATGTTTGAGCCGAGTGGTGGTGGCACATAGCACTTAGGAGGCAGAAGTAGGCAAATCTCTGAGTTCGAGGCCAGCTTGGTCTACAGAGTGAGTTCCAGGATAGCCAGGGCTACACGGAGAAACCGTGTCTCCAAAAACCAAAACAACAAACAAACAAACAAAATTGATGTTTGAATATTATTAAAAAATAATTGAAATTTAGATTAGGACAAAATTTCTAAAAGGACGCTAAAGGTGCTTTTACTATTTTTACTACATATATAAAACAATGTTCTCAGTGTGAATAATTACAAAGTCAGAATGTTGATAAACTTTGAAAAACATTGAAGATGCTGTGTGTACTTCAGTATTAACTATTCAGCGAAGATTCAATTAATTATATAAAATATTTTTATAAGCATATCTATTAGTATGTAAATTTTCTTTGATCTTTAATAAATTGATAAAATTATATGTCTACCAAAGTATTGGGGTTTTTTGTGGGGTTTTTTTTTTTGTGTGTGTGTGTGTGTGGTTTTTTTTTTTTTTTTTTTTAGATTTTTTTTTTTTTTTTTTTTTTTTTTTTGGTTTTAAAAAATTAGCCAGGTGGTGATGGCCTACACCTTTAATCCCAGCACTCAGGAGGCAGGGGCAGGAGGATCTCTGTGAGTTTGAGGCCAGTCTGATCTACAAAGTGAGTTCCAGGACAGCCAAAGATGTTACACAGAGAAACCCTGTCTCAAAAAAACAAAAACAAAACCTATAAAAAGATGTGTATATATATTTACACACGTCACACACACACACACACACACACACACACCTCCACGGATATATCTGAAATCCTTGAGTGCCTTAGAACTTTACAAATGGAATGTGTGACAGCCAGAGCATGGTTGGATGACCTTATAATTTATATGTGCACCACAACCTTGAGCTGCTAGGATAGCATCATCAACTCCATAATTTTCTTGTGCCTCTTGGCAGCAAATCTCTCTGTCCACCTCAGCCCTTGGTAACCACTGATCTGCTTTCTGTGTGGTCTTGCTGTTGGTGTGACTTCGTATGAATGGAGTTAAGGGCTAATACGGTGGCTCCGTGAGGAAGGTACTCCCTGCCGAGCCTCATGACTTGAGTTCAATCCTTGGACTCCCATAACTTAACCTCTAGCCTCCACATATGTGTGCAGGCATGCACATCTGCACACACACACAATGCACATGTATTAATTTAAAAATATTTTTAAAAATGGAATCCTAGTGAATATGGCTGTTTATATCTGACATTGTCAGGAGAGAAAGTTCTTCTGAAATGTGTGGTTTTGCATTTAACAGTAGTTCCTTTTTCTTGACAAGTAACATCCCATTTGTGGTGATACACAACTTCTTTATCTTTCTGTAATTAATAGACATTTGGATTTGTCAAGGTTTTGTGAATACAATTATTAATATTTGAGCACAAGTCTTTACATGACCCTACTTTCTGTTTTTTTGGGTAATGGATTAGGAGTGGGATTTCTGGGACATGTGGTAAACATATGTTTTGCTTTATAAGAAACTACCTGGATGCCTGAGGAGATAGATCAATTGGTAACGTCTTTGCCCAAGCTTAAGGACCTGAATTTGAATCCCATAAGCCACATAAAACAGCTAGGTAAGGTGGCACATGTCTATAGTTCAGACCAGAAGAGGCAGAGACAACTGGATCTGCAGAGTTTGCTGGCCACCTAGCATTCTTGGTAAGTTCCAAGTTCCAGAACATAGCTCAAAAAACAAGATGGATGGCTCCTGGGGAATGACATCCTGGACTGACCTCTGGCCCCAACTCACTCATACGTGTACACACACGCACACACAAAGAAACCACATTGACTGTTGCTTAATACCCCACTCCACATATAAGTTCAGACACTCTGCCTTTGTGCCAGTTTTCAGCATATTTGGCATGGTCAGTCTTTCTACTTCTGGATGGAACTAGTAGATGTGTAGTTACAGCTCATACTGGTTTAATTTGCATTTCCCTAATGACAATGAGCATCTTTCCATGTACTTTCTAGGCATTTGTATATCTTCTTTGATATAGTGTTTGACTCTTTTGCCCACTTCTTGTTGGTAATTGTTTGTTACTGAGTTGTGGGATCTTATAGAGCTAGCTGTGTGCTCTGTCAAGTGCTTTACCTGTGTTTTCTCTTGTGACATATCTTCCGTGTTGTTATTGTTGTTGTTTTTCCAGACATAGTTTCTCTGTGTAATAGTCCTGACTATACTGTGTAGGTGGGGGGTTTTGTCAGGACTGCTGGCAAGCTCCCACATAACCACATAGAGATGTAATATTAATTATAAATGATTGGCTGATAGCATAGGCTTGTTACTAACTAGCTCTTACACATTTAATTAACCCATATTTCTATCTATGTTCTACCACATGGTTCAGTACCTTATCTCAGTATGACACATTTATCTCCTCCTTCCTCTCTGTCTTGCTCTGGACCCTCAGACTCCTCCCTTCTTCCCAGCACCCTCCTAGTCTGGCTCTCCCACCCAATCTCTTCTTGCCCAGCTATAGGCCAGTCAGCTCTTTATTAACCATTGAGAGTAATACATATTTACAGTGTACAAAGATCGTTCCACAACATTTCCCCCATTTTGTCTAGTTAAAAAGGAAGGTTTTAACTTTAACATAACAAAATTATATATAACAAAAACAGTTATCAAGTAAGAATTACAGTGTGGTGGTATTGTGTTCCCCAAGATATTGTGTACTCTAATAAATTTATCTGGGGTCAGAGAACAGACAGCCACTAAATACAAAGGCTAGAAAATGGTGGCACTCACACCTTTAATCCTAGCATTCCAGAGATAGAAATCCCTCTGGATCTCTGTGAGTTCAAGGCCACATTGGAAATAGCCAAGCAGGGTGACACACACCTTTAATCCCAGAAAGCCAGCCTTTAATCCCAGGGAGTGGTGGTAGAAAGCAGAAAGATATATAAGGTGTGAGGACCAGAAACTAGAAGTTTTTGGCTGGTTAAGCATTTGGCTGGTTAAGCATTCAGGCTTTTGAGCAACACAGTTCAGCTGAGATTCATTCTGGATGAGGACTCAGAGGCTTCCAGTCTGAGGAAACAGGACCAGCTGAGGAACTGGCAAGGTGAGATATCTGTGGCTTGTTCTGTCTCTCTGATCATCCAGTATTCACCCCAATAACCAGCCTCCGGTTTGATTTTATTAATAAGAACTTTGAAGAATCCTGCTACATTACAGTTATAATATCCAAATACAAATCCATTTGTATTTGGCAAAATTAGAGAAAATACTCCATTATTTATCTTATCTTTGTGAGTCTAAAGTTTTATACCTAATTTAACTTTTATCATAACTAAGGAAAACTTTAATTATTTAGTCTTTAACCCCATCAAAGACTCTAGAACAAGAGTGACATCTGGCTGCCTGGCCAGTCACCCAAAGTTCTGTAACATTGGGATATCCATATTTGGCCTATAGGCCTAATATATCTGACAGACATTTCTGAGAAGCAAGAAATTTTGAAGGACTGTTCTCCCTTGTCTTGGCAAAGTTTGGTGGTCACTTTTTTTTTTTTTTTGCATCCTACTGGTCCAATTTGGACAATATACTGTCAGCTTTTGAAGCAATGGCAGTTTCTTTGACCCTATCCCCCTCTCCCAGTTTGCCCAGGAGATTTAATCTATTTCCCCTTCCTAGAGAAATCTATATGTCCCTCTTAGGGTCCTCCTTGTTACCTACCTTCTCTGGGGTTATGGATTGTAGCCTGGTTATCCTTTGCTTTATATCTAGTATCCACTTATGAGTGACTGACTATATACCATGTTTGTGTTTCTGGATCTGGGTTACCTCACTCAGGGTGACTTTATCTAGTTCCATCCATTTGCCTGCACATTTCATGATGTCCATATCAACCTGGAATTAATCCATAGCCTCTCATTTCCTGTAGAAATAAAAGCATAACCTCTTCCCCCAAACAACATACCTTTTGACTTCCATTTTAAAGTCAAGATACTTTTTAAATACATAGGTTGATTTAATCTAGCAGTTTCCATAATTCAATGTTTCTATGTATTTCCCATCTTTACATGGATTATTTATTATTATTATTACTTTACTCCTTTTTAAAGACTTTATTATTTTTAAGCTATTTTTAAATCTATGACTGTATATACTCTTTCTTTTTTCTCTCCCAAGCCTATGCATATTTTTAAACACACTATAGCCTGTTTAGTTTTTTTTTCTTTTTCCATTTGGGTTTGTCTTTTCTGAGCATCTGTATTGTTTTTTGATGGCATGAGATGAATCTTAAATTGTTATGTCAGCTGCTGGCACTGCTCAGTTTAGTATATGATGCTAGCGCATGGCGGCTGGCAGTTGGTTCCATCTCGCAGGCAGCTGCTGGGAGACATGTCTCTCTACTGCTGTTGACATGAGAGACACTAGACTAGTAAGCTACGCTTGCCTCCAATTTGTGTGTTTAGAACCTTTTTAAAGCTTTCTCAGGTCTTATGTGGATGTAGGTGCTCCATGTTGATATGCCATTTGTAGGCAGAGTTTTTCATTGGAACTGTGGGCCAGCTCCCAAATAACCATACAGAGATTTAATATTAATTATAAATGCTCGGCTGATAGCTCAGACTTGTTACTAACCAGCTCTTACGTTTTATTTTATTTTACTTTTTAAACATTTGTTTATTTATTATGTATACAGTGTTCTGCCCACGTGTATCCCTTCAGGCCAGAAGAGGGCACCAGATCTCATTACAGATGGTTGTGAGCCACCATGTGGTTGCTGGGAATTGAACTCAGGACCTCTGGAAGAGCAGGCAGTGCTCTTGACCCCTGAGCCATCTCTCTAGCCCAGTCCTACATTTTAAATTAACCCATATTTCTTATCTACACTCAGCCCCGTGGTGGTACCTTTTTCCAACATGCTGAGAATTTTGTGAGGAAGAATTCTCAATAGTCTATAACTTCCCATATGCCATTCAATAATTTTTTTTTAGCCAAACAGGATATGGCCAGCTCTTAGACTTAGTTCCTTTTTCAGGGAGCAAAAGGAAAGAAAAAAGTTAGAAGGAAACATTTTTCTCTAACCTAAGAACCTTTCATCTGTTAAACCCTGGGTAAACAGCGACATCGCTTATCATTATCACCATCCCAGGGACTAATGAAGTCTCCAGCTCAGGACTGTCAGCAGCAGCCTGAGACCCGGTGCAAGAAAAATTCTTCTGCCCTGCCAGACACTAAAGCCAAAACCCTTCAAGGGGCCAGCAGCCAGCCTCCCCCGCTTCCCCGTAGTTTAAAGCTGGAGAAGCCTGGCCTCCAACACCCTAGGAGTAAACTTACCCCTTGCTCCCTGGTTCAGAGCACCAGGAGAGAACTTTACCCGAACTTTGGATGTGGAAGCTGAATCTCAGGCTGTACTGAGAGAGATGAAGGCATGGAGAACGGTTCTGAGACATTTGCAGTCAGCACAGGAGCAAAAGCTGCAGGACGTGCAGGAAAGAGTGGGGGGGGGCATCCTGCTGACTTCTTCAGTCTTTGATTTAGCAGGCTGTATACTGTAGAGTTCTAGTGTCCCCTCCCTTCAAGGCTCTTCATTGGCAAGCTACAGAGATCTATCTTATAGTCTCTTTCTATCCTGTACTAGGTTTTGATGTTGAGACATTATCATATGTAACCCAGGCTGACCTTGAACTTGTTATGTAGCTGAGACTGACCTTGAACTCCTGATCCTCCTGCCTCTATTTCCCAAGTTCTGGAATTGTAGGACATGCACCACCTTAAGGTAACTTTTTTTCATGCCCTGCTTAAGGTAACTTTTTCTTGTTAAAAATCCCCCTCCCCTGGAGCTGAGGACCGAACCCAGGGCCTTGCACTTGCTAGGCAAGCGCTCTACCACTGAGCTAAATCCCCAACCCTTTTTAAAATTTTTAATATTTAGTATGTTTGTGTTTGTCTCTGTTTGTCTGTATAATGTCTGTGTGTATGTGTGTAGTGCCTGTGTGTCTGTGTGTGTAGTGTCTAAGTGTGCCTGTATGTAGTGTCTATGTGTTTGTGTAGTGTCTCTGTGTGTGTAGTGTCTGTGTATATAGTGTCTATGTGCATGTGTAGTGTTTCTCTCTGTGTGTCTGTGTGTGTGTCTGTGTGTCTATATGTGTGTGTGTGTGTATGTCTGTGTGAAGGTTGGAAGACTAGTTGTGGGTTGGGTTCTCTCATAGTGTGGGTCCCAGGGATTGAACTCAGGTCGTCAGGCTTGGGCACAGCACCTTTACTTACTGAGCCATCTCGTGAATTCCAGGGTAGCAGCTTTAAGCTTCTGCAAGACTTAATGCTATTTGAATTTTGAGAATGTCAGTGTTACTGCAAACGTAAGTTGTTTGTGGAAGCAGATCTTTTTACAGTGTGTTTATTTGTGTTTGAATGTGTGTGTTTATGGACTCACACATGCCACGGTACACACGCGGAGGTCAAAGGAGAGCATGCAGGAGCCAGTTGTCTGTCGTCTACCATGCGGGTTCCAGGGATGGACACAAATCGGGCCTGGCAGCAGGCCCCTCCCCCTGAGTGGGATCACTGACGCCGAGACAAGACTGTAAATCTGTGTAGTTTCCCTTTTGGAAAGACAGTAGTTAGCAGAGGCAGAACACAAACCTTAGCTTATTGGGACAATAAAAACCTGACATTTAAGTTTTCAATCCCAATTTACTCTACTGTTTTCCAGTCTTAGTGGGAACCATATGTTTTGTGTATTAGGTTAATGCTTGTTACTTTTAGGATTCTAGGTAAAAAGAAAAGGCTAAACCTATTGTTGTTTGAAATGTTGGGGTACAGGTATCGCTGCAGCTACCACACAGGCCTTAGCTTAATGGACTTCTTCCACTGGGTTCCTCTTACAGCTAGTCCTCCACGACTGGTCACTGTGGAGGAGCTTCTAGAAACAGCGAAAGGAGTCACCAACATGGCTCTAGCCCACGAGATTGTCGTCAATGGAGACTTCCGGATTAACGCCGTTGAATTAGCAGAAGGCAGGTGCGTGCGTGGACGTGTTTACTAGAGCATTTCCCAGTTCTGAGAATGGCTTTTCATTCGATGCCAGTGTGTTCAAGTACATTCTTCCTTTTGTACATCAGTGCTAAAAACATTCCTAGGTGAGGAGTGACTGTCGTGAACACGGGTCTGAAAGCCACGGAGGCTCCAGGACGCAGGAGAGGGTCTGGAGCCTGGCATCTGCCGGGCCGTCTTTCTCTGTTAGGGTTTAGCCATTTCACTCTTTCCAGGCCTCGCTCCCTTCGGCTCCTGTAGCTGTGTCGTTGTTGATATTTAACTTCCGAGCTCTGCCAGATTCTAAACTACGGGAAGACAAGGGAGCCAGGTGAGGTGGCCCATGCTGTAATCCCAACACTCGGGTAGTGGAGGCAGGAGCTCGGTTCAAGGTCATCCTCGACTACGGAGCAAGTTAGAAGCCAGCCAGGGCCACATGAGTCCCTATCTCAAAAAACAAAAACCAAACAATAATAATAAAAGTTGAAGGCAGGAGAGATGGCTCAGTAGTCAAGAGTACTTACTGCTTACTTGAACAAGAGTTCAAGTCCACGCGCCCACGTTGGGCAGTGTACAACCACCTGTAACTCCATTCCAGGGAGATCTATTGCCTCTGGCCTCTGTGGGAACCTGTATTCACATATATGTCACATGTACGTATCATAGGATGTTGCTGAGGTCAGAGAAAATAAAATTAGCAACTCTGAATTTTCCAGTCTTTAAGAAATTTAAAATTTTATGTGTATGAGTGGATTTTCCTGCATGTATGCTTGTGCACTGTGTGCATGCCTGGTGCCCGCAGAGGTCAGAAGAGGGTGTTGGATCTTGGAACTGGAGTTATGTGTGGATGGTTGTGAGCTGCCATGTGGGTGCTGAGAAGTAAATCCACATCCTCTGCAAGAGCAACTCATGCTCTTAGCCACTGAGCCATCTCTGCGGCCTCTAGTCTGCTCTCCTTATGGCAGGCATCAGTATATACTAGTTACTGGATTCATGTTGCCACTAAGTGATGTGAAATTCACTCTTATGTCTGGGGTGTCTTTCCTTGGTTCCTATGGTTTTGAAGATTTGTTACCCTACAGTCATAGAACTTATGACTTTGAAAATTATTTAAACTCAGAGATATATGCATATATATAGTATTATATTTATTTGTCTTTCTATTTTTCCTTGTTGTCTTCAGCTTGGAGAAAAGAGTAAAGGAGATTGTACATAAAGCATTCTGGGATTGCTTGAGTGTCCAGCTAAGTGAAGACCCCCCAACATATGACCATGCCATCAAACTTGTAGGAGAGATCAAAGAGGTGAGGCAGAGAATGAACTGTGCTTAGGGATTGTCCATTCAGCCTGTGTTACTATGCCAGATGACTCTGAAGAGATTGAGGGTCATAAAGTTACGTTATTTGAAGGAATTTGGATTGAGTACTTATGATTTAGCACCACTGGCCCTTTAAAAAATTTTCAACCAAGCCATGATCACCTGAAGGCACTACTTTTGAACAACAAAGAGAATGTTCATTCCTCAGAGACAACAAAACTTACATATGAGATATAGGGTATTTATAAATTTTTAATAGGTATGGACACATTCAGTTTATGTTGGCCAAAAAGCGACTGTGCCTTGGGGCTGAGAAGGCCCTAGGTGGAAGGACTTTCTGCAGTGGCTTTACCACCCTCTGAAGAACTAGCTGGGAAAATAGGAAAGAGTGCTTGGCCACAGGCTCCATAGCAACTGTCCTCTCCTTTGCTTCTCATTAACCATTTTTAGCCACACGTGGTAATACACACCCATGATCCTAGCACTTGGTTTGCTGAGGCAGAAGGGTCTCTAGCTTGTAGCCAGACTGAACCGCACAGCAAGACCCTGCCTCAAAGGACAAACACAAACCAACCACAAACTGCCAGTTTTCTCTTGCATCCAAGCAATTGCTAGAATATGAACAAGGCTTAAATAGCTATTCTAAATGATTCATATGCATGTTTGTCTGTAGATTTGTTAAGTAAGAGCTAAAAATATGTGCAGTGTCATAAGAGCAGCTGGTGATCCTTTACTTTTGAATAGTTATCAACTCTTTTGTGCACAATAAAGTTGATGCCTAACGAAGAAACTGATTGAACTTAGCTGTGCTCTCTTGTAGACCCTGCTCTCTTTCTTGCTGCCTGGTCACACTAGACTAAGAGACCAGATAACCGAGGTCTTGGATCTGGATCTGATTAAACAGGAAGCAGAGAATGGGGCCCTAGACATTGCCAAGCTGGCAGAATTCATTATTGGCATGATGGGGACATTGTGTGCACCTGCTCGAGATGAGGAAGTTAAAAAGCTAAAGGACATTAAGGAAATAGTGCCTCTTTTCAGGTATGGAATGTGTCCATCACAGTACACCTGGCTGAAACCTGCTTGCAGATTACACTTCAAGTCTAGGGACTCGGTCATTTCAAAAATGTTTCTAAAACAAACAACTAAAACACAGAATTGCAGGAATTCTGCCACTCACAGCCACTGTTTTTCCAGGGACTAAGGGGCTAAGGTAGGATCTTGAGTTCAAATCTAGTTTGGGGAACATAGTGAGATACTATCTTAAAAATGAATGAATGAATAGATGAATGAATGAATGAAGAATAAAATAAACAAGGGAGATAGCAGTTCCAGCTGGTTGTGACTGTGATGACCAGGTTGTCCAATCTTTTGACTTTTATAAAGAGAAGTCGGGAGATCTGATTGTTTGTTCATTTTGTTTTGTTTTGAAGTTTTTTTTTTTAAGATTTACTTATTTCATTTAGATGGTTGTGAGCCACCATGTGGTTGCTGGGAATTGAACTCAGGACCTCTGGAAGAGCAGTAGTGCTCTTAACCTCTGAGCCATCTCCCCAGCCCCCTGGTTTTTGAAAGCACTGTATGAGTAGTTTGGGGTTACTGTAAGTCAACAGCTGCCCATGGGCAGTTTCTGATGGCCTTTGCTTCCCTGTGGGTGGCCGTAGAGAACTGCCAGGACTGTTTCCAGGACAGGTGGGCTGCTGTGGATGTGTGAGCTGGACGGAGGAGCAGGGGGAGGCCTCCAAATGCATCCTTTCCTGTACATGGAGAGGAAGGCTGTGGTTCTGAAGGGCCATGGGCCTGGGAGCACATTTGATCCTATTCCTGCTTTTGTATAGGGCCACATCTACACCTGAGCCTTGGGGTTTTGTTTGTTTGTTTGTTTGTTTGTTTTTCTTGATTTTTTTGAGATAGGATTTTTCTTTGTAACCCTGGCTGTCCTGGAACTCACCTTGTAGACCAAGCTGGCCTCAAACTCGCAGAGATCCAAGTGTTTCTGCCTCTTGAGTGCTGGGATTAAAGGTGTGCACCACTGTGTCCAGCAAGCCTTGGGTTCTTTTTTTTTTTTTTTTTTTTTTTTTTTTTTTTAATGTGCTTTGGTGTTTTGCCTGCATGAGGGAGTCAGATTCTCTAGGACTGGAGTTACACATAGTTGTGAGGTGCCATGTGGGTCCTGGGAATTGAACCTGGGTCCTCTGGAAGAATAGTCAGTGCTCTTAACTGCTGAGCCATCCCTCCAGCCCCTGAGCCTAGGGTTCTTAACTTGGATTCTTACCTCCTGCATGTGGGCACTTAGCTGTCCTTGGTCATGGTATAGGCCAGGCAGGATGGAAGGCACTCTCAGAAGCAGGCCAGGAGTTTGTCTTTGGGTACAGAGTGTGAACTAGCAATTACATCACTGAATTAGAGCATACAATACCTCCTAAAACACAGAGTCGGGGAAACAGGGGGAAGAAAGGAGAAAGTTAATCTTTGTTCTTTATTTTGTTTGAAACAGGTCTCTCTGTGTAGTTCTGGCTTTTCTGGAACTTGATATGTAGACCAGGCTGGCCTCAAACTCACGGAGATCCTCCTGCCTCTGCCTTCAGAGTGCTGGGACTAAAGGCGTGTGCCACCTCGCCTGGTTGATTTTCATTCTTTGCTTAGAAAGTGACTCCTTTGTAAGCACAACCACCAAGAGCTGCAGCTCAGGTCAAGACCCTGTCCTTCCTCTGCCGCCAGGACCACGCTCTGGGCTGCAAAGGCAGTGTCCAGTGAGGAGCAGGAACGAGGGTAAGGGGCTTCAACGCACCTCAACATTTTGCACTTTTTTTTTTTTCAGGCAGGGTTTCTTTGTGTAGTCTTGGCTGTTCTGGATCTCTCTCTGTGGACCAGGCTGGCCTCGAACTCACAGAGATCCACCTGGCTCTGCCTCCTGAGTGCCGGGATTAAAGGCGTGCGCCACCACTGCCAGGCAAATTTTGCAGTCTTTCAAGCCATTAGTTAAGTGTTTGTTTTCCAAATTTGTTTTACTTTTTAGAAAAGATTGTTATTTTCTTTTTAATTATATTTATGTCTGTTTGTCTGTCTGTGGGCATATGCATGTAGTGCAGATGCCTGAGGAGGCCAGAGAGCTACCCAGCCTAGGTGCTGGGAACTGAACTAAGGCCCTTCCTCTGATGATTCTAGTTTGTGTCAAGTTGACATAAAACTAGCCCAGCACAGCTTGACACACAAACATCACTTTTCTGTTAGAACCTTTCCTTTCTCATTTATGTGCAAAATGGCACAATCATATTAATATTATAATGTAAAACATAAATAACTTGAAGAGTTCCATGGTCTTTACAAATTTAAACATGTTAAAAGTTCAGTCTCATCAGCCAGGCGGTGGTGGTGCATTCCTTTGATCCCAGCACTCAGGAGGCAGAGTCAGGTGGATCTAAGAGTTCGAGGCCAGCCTGGGCTACAGATGAGTTCCAGGACAGCCAGAGCTACACAAAGAAACCGTGTCTTGAAAAAACAAAACAAACAAACAAAAAAAGTTCAGTCTCTTTAAAAATGTCCAATCTCTAAAAATCCAAAATCTCTTTAAAAAACTCAAAGTCTTTCACCTGTGGGCTCTTACAAAATCAATGTGAAATGCTCTTTTGCTTCAAGAGGGAAGAACCAGGGCACAATTATAAACAAATCAAAGCAAAGCCAAACTCCCCTGTGTACACCGTTCCGTGTCCAGTATCTGGGATTCCCTCATGTTTTGGGCTCCTCCAGAGGGCCTGGGCCCTTTCCCAGACTCCGCCCCCCGCTACACTCACAACTCATCTTTTAGGCTCGGGCTGGCTCCACTCCTCCGCGGCTGCTGCTGTTTTTGGTGGTTGTCCTATATGTGGTACTGGCATCTCCAAAATCTGCTGCTGCAACTGGGCTGCACTTTCACTAATAGTGTCTCCTGGGCTCTCTTGATGGTGCCAAGCCTCAGTTTCTCTGCATGACCCCTTCAGCCCTTGGGCTTCCCTTCCATTCTGGCCGCACCTTCACCAGTGGCCTCTCCCGGTGCCAAGCTTCAGCTACTCTCTATGACTCCTTCATGCCTTCAAAACCAGTACAACCTGGGTGACTTTTGTACATCACCAAGTTCAACTGCCAGTACAGGGACAACCTTGGCCACCTCTGGAACACAGCTTCTATGTGCTGACTGAGGAAATACTTCCCAGAAGATGGCACCTCAGTGATGCTGGTCTCTTCTTCATCACCACCAGTTTCTTGGCTCCAGCTGACCAGCGTCAACTGTCCCAGTAAAGCAAAGGCTTTACTTCAGTGGTTCTGGTCTCTTGTTAGTCACAGCTGATTCTTCTGCCCCAGCTAACCAGAACCACAGATTGTCAACTCAAAATAGCAAACAGCCTTGATAGAGTCCTTAAGTGACTCTCAGACTTCCCTCTGGAACCTCACCAGCCAGGCCTCCATTGTCTGCTCTGCTCTCCACATTCTTGTCTTCCAAGCTCCCATAGGAAAGGTCGCTAAGCTTTGAACACTCAATGGCTTTTCTAGCCCAAAGTTCCAAAGTCCTTCCACAATCCTCCCAAAACAGCATGGTCAGGTCTGTCACAGCAACACCCCATGATCTTGGTAACAATTTGTCTTAGTTAGGGTTACTATTGCTTTGATGAAACACCATGACCAAAAGCAACTTGAGGAGAAAAGGGTTTATTTCACTCACACTTCCATATAAACTTCCATATAAAGTTCATCATCAAAAACAGTGAAGTCAGGAACTCAAGCAGGGGCAGGAACCTGGAAGTAGGAGCTGATATAGAGGCCGTAGTAGAATGCTGCTCACTGGCTTGCTTCCTGTGGTGTGTTTAACCTGTTTTCTTATGGACCCAGGACCACCACCCCTGGGATGGCCCCACCCTCAATGGGCTGAGCTCTTCCACATCAATCACTAATTAAGAAAATGCCCTACAGGCTTGCCTACAGCCTCATCTTTGTTGTGGAATGTTCCTTTACACTGTGTGAAGATGTATCACTGATTGGTTTAATAAAAAGCCAATAGCTAGGCAGGAAGTATAGCAGGGACTTCTGGACAGAGAGCACTCTGGGAAGAAGAAAGCAGAGTCGCCAGCCAGATGCAGAAGAAACAGGACGGGCATAATGGAGATGAGGTAATGAGTGTGTAGAAGAACACAGATTAAAAACATGGGTTAAGCGCCGGGCGTTGGTGGCGCACGCCTTTAATCCCAGCACTCGGGAGGCAGAGGCAGGCGGATCTCTGTGAGTTCGAGGCCAGCCTGGGCTACCAAGTGAGCTCCAGCAAAGGCGCAAAGCTACACAGAGAAACCTGTCTCGAAAAACCAAAAAAAAAAAAAAAATGGGTTAATATAAGTTATAAGAGCTAGTTAGAAACAAGCCTAAGCTAAGGCTGAGCTTTCATAATTAATAATAATTCTCCATGTCATTTTTTTGTGAGCTGGAGGCCCAAAGAAAAAAAATCTATCTACAAGTCAATGAGGGCATTTTCTTAACTGAGGCTCCCTTATCTCTGATGGCTCTAGTTTGTGTCAAGTTGACTTAAGACTAGCCGGCACAGGTCCTCTGGAAGAGCAGGAGGAGCTCTTCACCACTGAGCCATCTACCAGTCCCCCAAATTCATTTTCTTAATCCATTTTTCTCATGGTTTTCCAGATTTCTTTTGCTGCCCTTTCTAAGATGAAACATCTCTCTTTTCTGCTGTGGAACAATCCTTTTCTACACTATCAATATGTATTACTCTCATTGGTTAATAAAAAGCTGACAGGCCAGTAGCTGGGCAGGAAGTTAGGCGGGAAAGCCAAACTGAGAATGATGGGAAGAAGGAGAGAGGAGTCAGAGATGCCAGCCAGCCGCCAAGCAAGCAGGACGCGTAAAAAATGAGGTAACAAGCCATGAGCCATGTGGCAAAGGATAAGTAGAAATATGGGCTAATTTAAGTGTAAGAGTTAGCTAGTGGAGCTGGAGAGATGGCTCAGAGGTTAGGAGCACTGACTGCTGCTCTTTCAGAGGACCTGAAAGAGGTTCAATTTCCAGCAACCACATGGTGGCTCACAACCACCTATAATGAGATCTGGTGCCCTCTTCTGGTGTGTGTGCAGGCATACATGCAGACAGAACACTATACATAATAAATAAATACATCTTTTTAAAAAAAAGTAAAAAGAGTTAGCTAGTAACAAGCCTGAGCTATTGGCCAAGTATTTGTAATTTATATTCAGCTTCTGAGTCACTTATGTGGGACCTGGTGGTCAGGACAGGAAACTTGCATTTACACTTTTCCCTTAAGCTATGCTTATGCCACTATTGCCCGCTTCTAAATCTTTTCTCTTTTCAGGGCAATCTTTTCTGTGTTGGACCTAATGAAAGTAGACATGGCCAACTTTGCTATCACTAGCATTAGACCACACCTCATGCAGCAATCAGTTGAATATGAGAGGAAGAAGTTTCAGGAGGTGTTGGAGAAGCAACCGAGTAAGTTGAATACTCCATTGCACCTTTCATTGTTGGCTTTTGTGTTGTATTTTAGCTACTGTAGCTCATTGTTACCTAAAAGCCAACAACTGAGCCGGGTACTAGCGTAGCCTTTAATCCCAGCACTTGGAGGCAGAGGCAGGCGGATCTCTGAGTCTGAGGCCAGCCAGGGCTACAGAGCGAGTTCCAGGACAGCCAGGACTACACACAGAAACTCTGTCTTGAAAAAACAAAAACAAAAACAAAACCAGAAAAACAAACCAAAACCAAAAATACCCCAAAAAGCCAATGACTGTTTCTAATTCAGACTAGAGTAACCGGAAGAAGGAAAGCATGGGATGCTGTCAAGCATCAAAACCAAGATCATAAGAAATAAATCAACTGACAAACAAGAGCTGTGTGGGTAGACCATGAGAGTAAAAATGAAAAGAATGAAGATTGCTAGATTAAATATTTTCCTCCAAGGAAAATAACCAGTTTCAGTTAAATTATATTTCGGGTCTTGACCTTAAAATCATGACAAATCTCTTTTAATTAACTTTTCTCTGCTTATGGGAACAGCAGGGAACTTCACTAACTCCTTTCTTCCATGCAGAAATCTGTTTTCACAACCAGGAAATGCCAGTTTTTACTCTCTGTTGTTTGTTTTTGAGACAGGGTCTCAAAATGTTGTGTAGCCCTGGCTAACACTGCCTTTCTAGTACCGGGGTTAAGGCGTGCAGCACCACACCCGGCTTTGGTTTTGTTTTGGAGACCAGGTCTTGCTCTGTAGTCCAGGTTGGCCCCTTGCTCTCTGTGAAATGCAGGCTGGCCTTAAACCATGGCGGTGTTCCGCCTTCGCCTCCCCAAGTGCTGGGAGGAAAACGGCATTTTCACAAGCCTCGGATGACTGGGTTAACGGCTGACTGAAGAGTCTAGACGGGGTGTGTTTTTAGGGTGCTTTCAGGTGCAGCGTATGACGAATTTCATGTAGCTCAGCTTTGCTGAGGAGGAGATGGAAATGGGCGTCACTGAATAGATTGTGTTGCCTGAGCAGGTTGTTGAAATCAGTGGCCCCCAAAGTTTAATTCAGGTGGGTGCTAGGGGCCGGGGGTGGACAGAGGAGAGTAAAAGTAGTGGAAGAAGATTGGCTGACACACCCTTCAGTCTGTCCGGCACCATGGTGCCTCCAGGAGGACCCAGGGACTCGGTCTCAGGCTAAAGAGCAGGATAGCGTCATGCTCAGAAACTCAGGCGCAGTGAAGGCGTCATTGCTGAAGAGGAGCCTACCTAGACTCTCTGCTCGTCAGAGTCCAGTGCTTGTCCACCAGGTTTCCAAAGCCTGGACGCCACAGAGAGAGGCTGTCTCTAGAAGCTAAGGCAGAGGGAGGCCACATGGCTCAGTGGTCAGGACCAAATCGAGAACTTTGTGCATCTGGGATGAGCTGACAGCCGCTGCGGGGGAACCCCAGCTGCCTGTGTGGTTTGAAGGCGGCCTCCAGCGGGGCTGCAACTGTCCCAAGAGGCCCTTTTTACTCAGGATGTTGTTAGAGGGTATCTGCTGTGTTACTCAGCCTAGGAAAGCAGCGGGAGCACAATGACCACTGGAAGCCACCGAGGGCCCCGCTGACAGTGCTCCCCAGGCAGTGAGTAGACACCAGACACCTCGGGCTGGTGGAATCCTGACTGGTTGGTAGGCCCTCAGTAAACTTTCCCTACATAGGGAAGTCAAGCGGGTGTCTCGTCCTGTTGGTCTGGGGGCCAGAAGTTTTACCATCCCTCAGAACTGTAGTCACCTGGGCTCCAGCCACATCGAATGCAGTGGTCAGGACTGGAGAAGAGAGGAAGAAGCCAGGGGCAAGGCCTGGCTAGTGAGCTGTCCGCCTGGGAAGCAGGTGTCCTGCGTTTCTTTGTTTTTCAAGACAGAGTTTCTCTGTGTAACAAACAGTCCTGGCTTTCCTGGAACTCACTCTGTAGACCAGGCTGGCCTCGAACTCACTGAGATCCACCTGCCTCTGCTGAGTGCTGGGATTAAAGGCGTGTGCCACCACCATCTTCTACTCAGACAGACTTGTCTGAGGTCATGAAGCTAGCGATGAGCAGTACTGTGATCTGGGTTGAGTTGTGTGGATTCCGAAGTTCATTCTCTGTCCTGGATGTCACTGTAGGACCGCTCTTCCTTAAGGTAATTCCAAGTGTCCCTGCAAGTGTCAGGGTGATGAATGCAGCCCTGTTTCCACAGACTCCCTGGACTTTGTCACTCAGTGGCTGGAGGAGGCCTCAAATGACCTTTTGACTCAGAAGTACAAACACGCCCTGCCGGCTGGAGGAGGGGCTGCTGGCTCTGGGGATGCTGCAGTGCTGAGCCCTGCTTCTGTCCAGAATTATGCCTACTTGAAGCTTCTGAAATGGGACCACTTCCGGAGACCTTTCCCCGAGGTAGGGGCTGATGGCACTTAACTATTCATACTTTGTCTCCCCAAGCTCAGCTTTTCTGAAAGAATCATGGTATTCTGATATAAATCACAGAGCAAAAGGTCTTCTTTTCATTTGAAATTGTGATTACTTCTTTATGAATGTTTCACTGTACAAAATACTGGGTTTCATTGTGACGTTTCTTATATATTACTGCACTTTGCTCATAGTCGTCTATTATCACCCCTTCTCTCTCTTCTGCTTGTCCGCATTCTCTCCAGATAATCCCCCTTTGTGTGTATTTGTGTGTGTGTGTGCTCTACACACGAGAAAACATGCAGTATTGTCTTTCCCCTTCCCTGTTATTCTCTCTTGTCCCCCTCCCCGCTCTCTTTGAGGAAGGGTCCCTATGTACCCTTAGCTGTCCTGGAACTCGCTCTGTAGACGAGACTGGCCTTGAACTCCCAGCCATCCGCCTGTCTCTGCCTCCTAGTGCTGAGATCAAAGATGTGCACACCAGGCCCAGATTTCTCTTTCCTTTTAAGCCCTTCCTCCCTCAACAGTCTCCCTTTGGCTTTTATATCGTTCACACACACACACACTCACATACACACACACACACACACACACACACACACACACTCACACACACACTCACACACACTCACACTCATACCCCTGAATGTAAATTGTGCCTATGAGAGAAGAGTGTGCTTATTTCTGAGTCTCTTTCTCTCTCTTGAGACACACAGAGAGATGGTCTTACTGTGTAGCTCTGGGTGGCCTAGAATTTACTACGTAGTCCAGGCTGGCTTTGAACTCACAATGATCTACCTGCTGATGCTTCCTGAAAGCTGGGATTACAGGTATGAGCCACATACCAGGCTAATTTTATTCTTTAAGGCTGAATGAAATGCCCCTGTGTGTATGAAACACATTTTCTTTATCCCCTCCTCTGCTGATGGACATCTAGGCTGAGTCTATATTTTGGTCATTGTGAGTGATGCTACAACGATCATGGATATAATTCCTCCTTAGCTTGTACCATTCAGTGGTTGCTTATGGATGCCTAGGGGGTCAGCCTCAAGGCAGTTCAGGGCTTAAAGGGAAATCCACAGCATCTGTGTGTACTAGACTTTTATCTGAGGAGGTTAGGAGAAAAGATACTCTTTTGATGGTTTCCTTCAGATCTTTTCTTTATTCTTCTTTGCATTCTCTATTCTGTATTTTCCTGGTGATTTCCTGCTCTCATTCTTGATGTTTTCCTTCTAACCCATGTTTGCTGTATTTAACTCTATCTCTGTTATTTCCCTTATAGCTTATATACCCAGCAAAATCTTTCAGGCAATATATAAATTACAATGTGGTTATGTTCTGTTTTTCAAGTGAATGAATGCAAGTAAAAAAACAGCATGTTTTCCATATCCCTTACATGATTAAACATTTTACATATTATAGGTGAAAAACAAATGATCCAAAGAACCCACATACATTCGTACCCAAGCAACTTGTTATAGATTAACTGTGTGAGCAAGCAAGGTGTTCTTCTCAGTCGGGTCTTTTACTGGCAGGCTGTGTCTTGTGGTTACAAAGAAAGAGCCAATTACTTTATTACTTATCTTGAAAGGTAATCTTATAAGGAATCTTAAAGGAATCACAAACCTACATTTTTATAGACTGGGTTCTTTAACATGAGAGGCAGTCCACCTTCAGGTGGCTTCCTGTGGGCATCAGTTCTGCTCTGTCTGTCATTTTTTATTGTTTTCTTTATCTCCTTACCTGAGGTGATGGTTATTATTGTTAGTTTGTTGTTCTGAGACAGGGTCTCACTGTGTATCCCAGGGTGGCCTTAGACTCCTAGCAATTCTCCTGACTCAGCCTTCTGAGTGTGGGTGGGAGGGTGGAGGGGTGGAGTTTGTAGGCTGAGCCACCGTACCCAGCCTGTACCCAGCCTGCCCAGCGCTCGCGTCTCCTTTGGGCTGTGTGTGCCAAGGTGAATGAATAATTGTAGCTCTGCTTCAAGACATTGCTCCTCTGTCAGCACGGTTACTTCCCGGTTTGTGGGGGGAAAAGATGGGGTCTCAGGACTTGGATGCTTCCCTTTTAAATCTGGGACACACGGGAAGGCGTTGGCCACTCTAGCTCCATCCTCTTACCCTTCCCTTCCTACCGCTCTACCTTCTGCGGAGATCGTGGCTCGCAGCCACTCCCCTGCTCACCGGGTTTCTTCATCTTTCAAGCAGCTGTACAGAAGGAACCCCCTTTTGCATAGTCTGAAAGAGTAAAGGAGGCTTGCCTGAGGTCACACTGCTGTGAAAGAGTAGAGTCTGGATTTATCTCCAGGCCTGCCTCAGCTGATGCTTAGAGCTCTGCCAGCTCTGAAAGGAGTCCGGGAAATCGGAAAGGGCGCCACAGGCCAGGTGGAGGTGTGGCGCCACTGCCCTCTGCTGGCCAGCTTGAGCCTCTGCTCGGCAGTGACGTGTCTATTCATTGCAGACCGTTCTGATGGACCAGTCTCGTTTCCAAGAACTCCAGTTGCAGCTGGAGCAGCTGGTCATCCTGGGGTCTGTGCTGCTCGTGACACTCAGCACCGCCGCACCTGGGATTTCTGGCCACGCTGACTTTGCAGAGAAACTCAAGATGACGGTGAAGATTCTGCTAACGGACATGCGTCTGCCGTAAGTGGTTGGAGCCCTAACAGTGGATGGAATTGTGGTGTACCGTGGGAGTTTGCCAGCCTTGAGGAACGTAGAAAAGACTTGACCTCCCTGCAGTTTAGGCATGGCTGTCATGTCCAAGTTAAGGGAACTGTAAACTTAACAAGGCTCTAAGACTGTGGTTTTCAAATGTCTGCTCAGGGCCCACAATGAGTGATTCAGTTTCTACTGTGCCCAGTACACTAACGCATGTGGAACTGCAATAGTCACCCCCCAGGGGGACCTACCCTATGTTTAACCTCTTTTTTCTAACCTAGTCTTATTTACCAATCAACCAACAAAACACCCCACTGCCTTCCATTACCGAATTGCTTTCACGACCAACTAGCTGTGAAATCCACCAATGTAACCTGGGCCTTGGCCACCAGGACAGCCAGTTGCTCCAGCTGTGGGTGAGAAAGATCACAGAAGAAACAAACTCTGCCCCTCCAGGGAGCACCCATAACATGACCTCCCTGCCCTTTGACATACATACCTCATAGACATCTTGGGCCTGCCACCAATGTATGATTCCATCAGGTATCAGATCTCACATTGTGAAGTCTCTAGCAGGTGCTGCCCCCACACGGCCAGTACATGGCTCCCATGACTTGTGGCACATAGGGCGGGTCTGAGTAGTTTCAGTAAGGCCTGTGACTGACAAGGCCCCATGCACCCCCACCCCACCTTCTCATCTAAGTCAGGGTGTCTATTGTGGGAAGAGACACCATGACCGTGGCAGTTCTTATAAAGGAAGGCATTTAGTTGGGGCTGCCTTACAGTTCCGAGGTTTAGTCCAGTGTCATCATGGGGTGGGGGGAAGCATGGCAGCATTGCAGGCAGACATGGTGCTGTAGAAGGAGCCGAGAGTTCTACATCTGGATCCACAGGCAGCAGGAAGAGCGGGAGCCACTGGGCCTGGCTTGAGCATTTGAGACCTCAAAGCCCACCACCAGTGACACAATTCCTCCAACAAGGCCACACCCACTCCAACAAGGCCACACCCACTCCAACAAGGCCACACCTCCTAATGCCACTCCTTAAGCATTCAAATAAGAGTCTATGGAGGCCATTCTTTGTTTTTGTTTTGTGAGACAGGGTTTCTCTGTGTAGCCCTGGCTGTCTTGGAACTCTGTAGACCAGGCGGGCCTTGAACTCACTGAGATCGGCCTGCCTCTGCCTCCTGAGTGCTGGGATTAAAGGTGTGCGCCACTGCCGTTGGCTGACCCTGACATCATCCTGACAAAGGGATTGTACTGTGGAGTTTGTACAGTCGGTGGGTGTGGCCAGTGCCATCGGCCGTATTCGCACTGTGACAAGTGGTTGACTCAGCCAAAGACGCTGCTGATCTGAGGCCTGTGCTGATGCTGTTGCCCAGGTTCGGCCTTTGCCCGTCCCCTCCGTTCCCTGCCAGGGCAGACTTCCGGGGAGCAGCACCAGCAGTGAGTCCTGGGCTGTGCGCCCTTACTTCCCAGAAGTGCTTTAGTACAGAGGCTCTAGACCCAGAAGACTGTTGCTTTGCAGTCGCACGGAGTGAACTGAACAGCAGCTGTGAGTGAAACAGCTGAAAAGAAGGCGTTCTCATGGGCCTCCCAGCAGGAGGCTGCCTCACGGCTCTTCCCAAGGGATCAAGGCTATTCCTTTTCTCTTTTGGATTGTCTTCTTCTAAAAATATCTAATGTAAGCTGGTCAGGGTGGCGAATACTTGTGATCCCAGCACCTGAAAGGTAAAACAGGAAGACCAGGAATTCATGGCTAGCCTCAGCTACCTGAGATCCTGTCTCAAAAGCCAAACCAAACCAAAGCAGCTGCAGAGGGGTGGGGATATACTCAGTAGGCAAAGTGCTTACCATGAATGAGGTCTGGGGCTTGATCTCCAGCATGGTAAAAAGAAACGAAGAAACCACGGAGTACTCAATGAAAAGGGTTTATCCCCGCCCCCAACTCTTGTCCCATAGCTACAAATTTCTGGGTTCTATGTGTTCCTCTGGAGGTGTTTGGAGGTAGAAGTTAGTCCCACGGTTACTCTGGCATGAGCGAGACATTGTGCTCTGAGGCCTGGGGATGTGGCTCTGTTGATGAGTGCACGCCTAACGTGTGTGTGACATGCACGGAGCCCTCATCCTCGGGTTTTATAGATCGGGTGTGGTAGCACACAGCTCTAATCCCAGCACTTGGGAAGTAGAGGCAGGCACATCCAAAGTTCAAGGTTATCCTCAGCTACATAGTGAGTTGTAGACCAGCCTGAGCTACATGAGCCCTGTCAACAAACAAAAAACCCATCTTGGTATGATGTGGGATGCACAGCCTAGGAGGTGAGGGAGCAGGGAAGAAAGCCACAAGTCCCCACAAAACTCAGTGCGGGACAGGGCGTGTGACTTTGTATTCCTGAGGCCTTTGTTCCGGCTCCCTTTCCCTTCTCTGTTCTAGTTCCTTCCGTCTGGAGGATGCTCTGACTTCCATTGGGGAGAAGGTGTGCCTGGAGGTGAGCGGCTGCCTCTCCCTGTGTGGGTCACCCCCATTCTCCATCAACAAGGAGGCTGCCCTCAAGGGCCAGGTTCAGGCCCTGGCCAGTCCTGACGACCCCATTCGCAGGATCGTGGGTATGTTTGGGGAACAGTCTAGAGGGTGTCTTAGTTCCCTTCTATTGCTGAACTGAAACACCATGGCCAAAAGCAACTTGGAGGGGGGGGGGGGTTGGTTCATCTTAGAATTGTCAGGTCACACTCCGTCACCGAGGGAAGTCAGGACAGCATCTCGAGGCAGGGACTGAAGTAAACGCCATGGAGGATGTTGTGTATTGTCTTGCTCAGCCTGCTTTCTTATATAGCTCAAGAAGGCCTCTCAGGGTGGCACCACTCACAGTTTGCTGGGGTATCCCACATCAGTCGTTAATCACTGAAATGGCCAGGTGTGGTGGCCACGCCTTTAATCCCAGCACTTGGGAAGCAGAGGCAGGGGATCTCTGAGTTTGAGACTAGCTTGGTGCAGAGACCCAGGACAGCCAGCACTGCACAGGGAAACCCTGTGCTGAGGAGAGAGAGCGGGGTGGGGGTGGGAGTCGGGGGAGGGAAGGAAAGCAAATGCCCCCAGACCTGTCTGCAGGCAATCTGATAGAGGCATTTTCTCAATTGAGGCTCCTCTTCCAAGAAGACCTTAGCTTGTGTTGACAGAAAAAAAAAAAGTAACCAGGAGAGAGGGGCTGGAGGACAAGCCCTCAGAAGAAAACTGAGAGGGCTGAGCATATGGTACAGGCCTTTAACTCAGCACTCAGGAGATAGAGGCAAGAGGAGCTTTGTGAGTTCAAGGCCAGCCTGGTCTACATAGTAAGCCAGAGCCCCATAGTGAGACCCTGTCTCAAAACAACCAATGAGAGCTACAGCAACAGTCTGAGAGGGTTGATGGCCCATGAGTGCTTCTGAGTACTTCGTCACCAGTGTGAGAGGCTGACCAAGAGGACAGGCGAGGACAGACGCCACAGTTATCTCAAAGTTCTGACTTCAGTGTCACAGGCCTTGACTCAGATCCTCGTTACTAAGGAATATTCCATACAAAATGACTAATGTGGATTTTTAAAAAACTATGACCATTCTTTTCAAGCCTGCTTTATCCCAGCCCTGCATTAGCCACAGGTTAACCTGTGGCTCATTGAGGAGGAGGCTTCTGCAAATCATAGAGATCTGTACTCCACCAGGGAAGGCCTTTGAACAGCCTGAAGCCTCCATGCTGCTCAGGTCTCACCATATCATGTGCTTCCTGATGGCAGTGCCAGTTAGAGACACAGTCCTGGCAGGAGTGACACAGGACCTCTGCAGCAGACTCTCTTTGGGGCCACCAACCAGCTCCCAAATAAAGACACGGAGACTCACTGTCAGCTATGGGTTCCCAGCCTTGTCTTAGGCTTGTCCCGCTGGCTCTTATAACTTAATTTAACCTGTGTTTCTCCTCATCTACCTTTTGCCTCAGGGTTTTTTACTTTTCTTTCCTTCTGTGTGTCCTACTCCATGTCTGTCTGTCTGGTGGCTGCCTGACTGGCTGGTCCCCGGTGTCTCCCTCTCATTCTCCCCGTTCTCTCTCCATTCTCTCAGGTCTAGATTCCTCCTCCTGCTCATTCTCTCTGCCCACCAGCCCTGCCTATCCCTCTGCTGTCTAGCTATTGGCCATTCAGCTTTTGATTAGACCAACCAGGTGCCTTAGGCAGGCAAAGGAACCCATCTTTACATCATTAAACAAATGTGACACATCTTTGCCCAGTTAAAGTAATATTCCACAACAGACCTCCACTTCCCGATGGGCTTCCAGCTCTGGGGACCTCAGGGGAACCAGATCCCTTTAGGAATGGAGAGGGGTAGGACCCAGCTGTCAGTGTGCTTTCTGTTGGTGGTTCAGAGGTGCCAGTTTGCACTTGAGGGTGTACCCCAGTTCAGAAGGCAAGGCAGGCAGTTTGAAAAGTTCATTCACGTCTCTAGAATGGCTAAAAAGTGTCAACGAGATGACTGCTGTGGTCTTCCACTGTGAGCATCAAAGAAGGGAGCCTGTGCTGAGCCATGAAAGCCAGAGCATGAGTTAATGGGACAGGACTCGTCCTCCTCTCTTCCTCCTCTTTCCTTCTGACCTTTTCAGTTATGGAAATTGAACTCAGGGCCATGTGCTCCACCATGGAGGTGCACGTTCAACCCTCTTCCTTTTTCCGAACAATTTTTCTGAGATTCTGTTTGTTTATTGAGACAAGGTCTCTGTAGGTCTGGCTGGCCTTTAACTCACAGAGATCCATCTACCTCTGCTGGTATTAAAGGCATGTGCTGCCATGCCCAGCCTAGATTTGTGTGTGTGTGTGTGTGTGTGTGTGTGTGTGTGTGTGTGTGTGTGTTCAGACGCCAGTGCTCTTAGGGCAAGCCATCTCTCCAGCCCCGGATTCGAACTTGTTCCTGCTTTACTTATCTTTCTTTGTGTGTGTGTGCCCTGTGGCCATGGCCAGTGTCAGCCTCAGTGTCCTGCTCCTCTGAGAGCAGAGCAGGCCAATGCTGCAGACGCCCTGTGTGCACATATGTGTTCTTCCCGCTGACCTGCGAAGTTCTGCAGATCTGAGCTGGGGCGACTAGGGAAGGCCTCCCCCAGAAGATGATGACTCAAGTAACTGACACGGAATGGGACGTGTATAGTGTCACCCTGAAGGAGACACCCCTGATCACTCTTCTTTCCGCCACAGAGTCCCGAGTTTTCACCTTCTTGGAGACACACCTTGCCTCTGGTCATCAGAAGCTGTTGCCTACAGTGCCAGGGGGGCTGGGTCCCATTCAGAAAGAGCTGGAAGAAGTCGCAGTGAAATTCGTGCGCCTGGTCAACTATAACAAGATGGTGTTCTGCCCTTACTATGACGCAATCCTCGGTAAGCTGCTCCTCCGCTCCTGAGGCGCACAGCTGCAGCACCGGCCCCTCTCCTCAGAAGCTCTCCCAGTGCAGTGCCGTTGCTGTGGAGGAAGAATGGCATGCGGAACACTCCTGTCTGGTAGCGCTGGTTCCGGAGGGAAGACGTTCCTGTGTCGCCGTTGGAGAGACTCACTGAAGAATGCACTGAGTTCTGTTTTGAGGACTGTATTTACGAGTGCAAGTTTACAAGCTCAAGAAGCTCTCGTTCTCTTGAGTTTACGGGGGCACTCAGCTCCCATCAGTTGGCTGCCCCTGTCTCTGCTCCTGCTGCATCAGGGTGGAGGAGTCGGTTCTCCCCTGGAGTCTGGGGCCTTTCTCTCCTGTGGGTCATTCTTTCTCAGAATCTCCGTGCTGACATCATAGGCCATGCCTTGTTCTGTTGCCCCTTCACAGCCCTCCTCCCACTACTCTTCCTGTGAGTGGTTCTTTTTTTTCTTTTTTCAAGACAAAGTTTCTCCATGTAGCCCTGACTGTCCTGGAACTAGCTCTGTAGTCCTGGCTGGCCTAAACTCACAGAGATCCCCCTGCCTCTGCCTCCCGAGTGCTGAGATTCAAGGCACGTGCCACTAATGCCTGGCCCCTTTTGGTGTTTTGTGATGAGGTCATCTGTAGCCTTACAGGGTCTGTCCCACTCATCTCCACCTCTCTCCATTTATTGCTTCTTGGGTCCAGCCTAGCCAGCGTTCAGAGCCCTTTTGTTCCTCAGTAGAGTTACTGATAATTTATGTTGTCTTATTTTTTATTATCATGATTATTTTTGAAACAGCATCTCTCTATATATATACCTCTGGCTGGCCCACAACTTGTTTTGTAGGACAGGTAGACTCAGACCTGCATGAGCCCTCCTGCCTCTGCTTCACAGGTGCTGGGGTTACAGGCTCCTGCTGCCATACCTGCGGGGTAGAACTTGATTTGTAAAAGCTTATTTGTTGGCTTGGGATGTAGTACACTGGTTACTGGTTACTAGCATGGACAAGGCTCTGGTATGATCTCTTGCATTTAAACAATGAAAGATGTACACACACACACACACACACACACACACACACACACACACACCAGGCATTGAGAAGCCATAAGCTCTTGTAACTTCAGCTACCTGAAAGGATTGTTTGTGCCCAGGAACTCAGGAGCAGCCTGGGTAATAAAGACTCCACCTTAAATGAACAAGGACAGAAATATTGTTCTTTCTACAGAAGTGTTCCTGAGGCAGGATGGCAGCAGCTGAGGCTTATGGAGCCAGGCATGGTGACATATACCTGTAATCTTAGCTCTAGGGAGGCCGAGGCAACAGAATTGCAAGTTGAGCTTGCTAAGCTGGACTACATAGTGAGAGCCTCCTTCAAAAGCAAGACAACATGCTGGGTGGGCAGTGGTGGCGCACACCTTTAATTCCAGCACTCAGGAGGCAAAGGCAGGTGGATCTCTGAGTTCGAGGCCAGCCTAGTCTACAGAGTGAGTTCCAGGACAGCCAGAGCTACACAGAAAAACACTGTCTCGAAAAACAGAAAAATGACCACACTTATGTATGAAGTCTAAAAAAATGAAATCCTTTTACTTTTAATCCTTAAAAGATAGATGTATATAGTTTAGTATAACAAAAAAGAAAAGAATAATCAATCCACTGTGATGAATACACAAATGTGCTGATGGAATTCTAATTCAGAAATTATTTTTAAGTATTTTAGATAAAATAGCCCACCCTCACTAATCTAGATAAGGAGGAAAATTCCCCAGTATTTGAGCAGAATTCTTAAGCAATTTGAGTGACCAGAATTCCCGACACACCATATGACCTTGAGAGTGCTTTGGATGTGGTACAGATGATCTGTTAAAGAAAAAAAAAAAGTAAGCCAGGCAGTGGTGGCACATGCCTTTAATCCCAGCACTTGGGAGGCAGAGGCAGGCGAATCTGTTGAGTTTGAGGCCAGCCTGGTCTACAGAGCGAGATCTAGGACAGGCTCCAAGTTACACAGAGAGACTCTGTCTGGGTGGGGGCGGGGGAGTATATGCACTACTGTGTGTATTTTGACTGGAACATTACAGTAGGAGCAGAGCCATGAAGTTGGGGTGATCTCCAGTCAGATTCCCTGGGCATCAGACAAAAGGAACATTCTCTCTGAAGACTATCCAGTGATGACAGAATGCAGGTCAGAGGGCATAGTGAACCTAGCCTGGGGGAGTACACCTGAAATTCCAACACTTCAGAGGCTGAGGCAGAAGGCTAGCCTGGGGTACATAGCAAGCCCCCACCTGAAAAAGAAAAAGAAAGAATGGCTGTATTGAGGATGATTTCTCCAAATACATGCTACAAACTACTCTAATGCTGATTTTTGTTTCCAAGTAAAATAATGTGCTGAATGTGCTGATGCACGCCTTTAATCCTAGCTCCAGAGGCAGGAGAAGGTGGATCTCCATGAGTTCAAGGCCAGGCTGGTCTACATAGTGACTTTCCAGGCTATCGAGGGATGCATAGTGAGAACTGTCTCAAAAATAAATAATAAAAGTATGCTATATTATGTGCTCAGATTATTATTATTTCCGTGTAGCCCTGGCTGCCCTAGAACTCCCTATGTAGACCAGGCTAGCCTGGAACTCAGAAATTTCCCTCCCTCCGCCTGGAGGCATGTGCCACCACACCTGACTAGTAAGTCATTAAAGTTTAGCCAGATGTGTCTGCAAACACCTGAAATACTAGCATCTAGGAGGTGGAGGTAAGAGGGTTAGGAGTTCAAGGCCAGCCTTGGCTATTAGCACGTCTGAAGCCAGTTTGTGCTAAATGAGACCCCTTTCTCAAAATACAAAAGAAAACAAAGTGTTACCATTAGGCTTCAGGACAGATTGGAAGAGGAATTAGAGCCCTGGAGGTGTAGGTCAGTGGCAAAGAGCTAGACTAGCATGTTAGAGATGGCAGATTTGATCCTTGGTACCAAACCCCAAATCGTTTGGGAGTAACAGAGACTTCTGGACAAGAGCAGAGACGTGACTTGGAAGCTACTGAAAATGACTGGCAATCGTGTGTGATGTGGGTCAGAGGCCCCGTTTCAGTCTGAGTAGTTGTTTGCTCTGAGCCTTCTGCTCAAGGCTGTGTGGTAGTCGTGTTTGTAGGAGAGTTAAATAGACTTTAGGGTCTGCTGTGAGGTAGGCATGCCAGGTGGAAGGGTCAGAGCCAGCACTGTTAGAACATGTCTTGAGGTGGGAACTGGTGTTCTGCCTGCTTGTAATTCTGTGCACCAGGTATGCGGTGCCTGAAATACCGGAAGAGAGCATCAGACCTCCTGGAACTGAAGTCAGTTGTTAGCTGCTTTGTGGGTGCTGGGAATCGAACCCAGGTCCACTGGAAGAGCAACCAGTACTCAGTAAACACTGAGCCATCTCTCTAGTCTAGTCCCAGGATCTATACAAAGAACTTGGATCTGCTTGTAGGCAGAAATGATAAGATCGTTATTAAAGGGACTTCTAATCTATAGTGATATGGCAAATTGGAAAAAAAAAAAGCTGGACTGAATGTAATTGCCTGTTATCTCAGCATTTGGGTAGCTGAGACATGAGGATTGAAAGTTTGATATTAGGCCGGGCGGTGGTGACGCATGCCTTTAATCCCAGCACTCGGGAAGCAGAGCCAGGCGGATCTCTGTGAGTTCGAGGCCAGCCTGGTCTACAGAGCGAGATCTAGGACACGCACCAAAACTACACAGAGAAACCCTGTCTTGAAAAACAAAAAGAAAAAAAAAGTTTGATACTGGGGGGGAGAGGGAGAGAGGGAGGGAAGGAGAGAGAGAGAGAGAGAGAGAGAGAGAGAGAGAGAGAGAGAGAGAGAGAGAGAGAGAGAGAATCAAATGTATCCTCTTGTCTCAGGCTCCAGAACCCCTGGCCACTCTAACAGGGCAGGCTGGCTGCATTTTAGAGGAGAGCACTGTAAAAGAACAGCTCATCTCTTAGGTGTGTTCAGTGAGGCCAGAGGAAGGTTTGGGGAGACCTCACTGGCGTCTGTGCTGTTGAGGCTGAGACGCCCGCCTCTTACCTGGATGAGGAGCAGAGCCTCCCTCTACTCTGATGCAGAAGATGCAGTCACCACTTCACAGAGCTGTTGTGTGGTATTTTGTGTTCTGACAAATAAAACTTGTCTGGAGATCAGAAGATGGAGCTGGCCACTAGTTAACCATAGAGGCCAGGTGGTGGTGGCTCACGCCTTTAATCCCAGGGGAGGCAAAGAGGAAGTGATGAGGTGGGTCCCTTTTGGTTTGAGAGTCCAGAGAGGTAAGAAGTCACTAGTGGCTGCTCCTCTGCTTCTCTGATCTTTCAGGCTAACACCCCGATATTTGACTCCTGGTTTTTATTGATAAGACCAATTAGGTTCACGCTTCACATAGCGTTCTTCTGAATCCCTAAAATGCTCCTAAGAGTTAACACCTTCCCCGTCCTGGTTCTAAACTGGTGGAGCTGAGACTGGGCAACTGAAATTTTGATGCATCAATAAAGACCTTTGCGGACTCCAGCTCAGCACTCGTGTATTTTCTGCTGCTGCAGGAGTTTTGTTGGGAACAAAAGAGATGTGGTTCATGGCCATGGTATTCATGGAATCATTTGTTGCTTTGTGAAAGTAATTTACCTAATTATCCTCCTGAGCTTCTCATAGGATTAACAGAGAGCCAGAAAAAAATCCACTTAGGTCATTTACTCAAACATTATTCAACATTTACTGTGGGTTGTATTATGTTGTAGAATGCTCCTCTAGCAGCATGAAGCCCTGGGCCCCAGCCATGCACACATGCATGCATTTCCCCAGCAGATGGTCATTTACTCAATCATTCACCAGTTATTTGTAGGTTCTGTGATGTAGCTCAGTGGTAGAATGCTTCTCGAGCAGCATAAGCCCTCATCCTTAAAAGCTTCGTGATAATTGGATTTCACTTAATTCTCTAACAGGTTTATGGAGATGTGTCTTTTTGTGAGACTTGTTTAGTTGGTGCTTCAACCACAACTGGGTAGAAGCAGACAGAGTCGGCACAACCCAGCCTTTTAGAGCTGATAGTCATGAATAGCAAGAGCGGTAGCTGCAGCCTCCTTGGCTCTCACTTGGGTGGAAAGGTGAGTGGATTCTCATTCAGGTGTTTTGGGTTTATTTTTTGCTGTTTGAAGCAGCAGATGGGATTCTCTAGCTAGCAGCTGTAAATGGAGGCTTTTCTCTCTCCTGCCCCATGCCACTGCCATTTCCAAATAATCACTCAGAGGCTTATATTAATTATAAATATTTGGCCAATGGCTCAGGCTTATTACTATTAACTCTTACATTTAAATTAACTCATATTTCTTTTCTATACTTTGCCATGTGGTTCCTGGCTTGTTACCTCATTTTCTACACATCTTGCTTCCTTGGTGACTGACTGGCATCGGCCCCGACTTCACCTTTTTGTATTTTTCTTTTTGATTTTTTGAGACAGGGTTTCTCTGTGTAGCTTTGGAGCCTGTCCTGGAACTCGCTCTGTAGACCAGGTTGGTCTCAAACTCACAGAGATCCACCTGGCTCTGCCTCCTGAGTGCTGGGATTAAAGGCGTGCGCAACCACCGCCCGGCCTCCAACTCCACCTTTCATCACCAGTTTGATTGTATGCCTAACCTTATTCTGCCTGACTATTGGCCAAAACAGCTTTATTTATCAACCGGTGAGAGCAACACATATTCACAGCATACAGAAAGACCACTGCACAGCACACAGCCCAATATAAACACGTTTCAGGTAATGAACCATACTGATACATGTGTTACTGATTAGCTGTGTTAAGTGAGTGAGGTGTGTAATGGAGCACACTTTTAATCCCAGGTGTAATGGAGAGGTGGAGGCAGAGGGATCTATTCAAGTTCAAGTCCAGACTCATCTACAAAGAGAGTTCCTGTCCAGCCAGGGCCACATAGTGAGGAACAAACAAACAAACAAAAAAAAAAAACCAGAAATCTGTTCTCGGTTATATACTAACTTGTCAAATCCCCTATTTCCACCTTGAGAATGAAGCAACAGCCATGGTCATTTGCTCCCTTCCACCCTGACAATGATCTGTAACGGGATGGTGGACAGTGCTTCTGATTCAGATCGGGTTTAGGGAAAGCGTTACTCTGATTCTTTATCAATAAAAATTCAGGAGTCAGATATCAGGAGAACCTGAAGAATAAGAGAAGCAGAGAAGCCACCCGTCCTCTGCTACCTGCTCCGTTCCTTCCTCCAAAAGGGGTCAGATCCCTCTCCGCCCTGCATTACTGCTTCCTGTCCTAGCTTTCCTCAGTTCAGTCCTCCAAAACCTCTGTGGTTAATTTTGATCAGCTAGTGGCGAGCTCTGCCCTCCTCTGCCCTCTGACTCCAAGCAAGCTTCATTTGTCAGAACATGATCAAAATAGCACACCTTTGGGTCTTTTTCATGTGGTTGTCTTCTCCCTTAGGCCTCAGTATTTCCATCTATAAAATGGGAATGCTGCCAATACTGTTGCTGTGGGGACTGAGTTGGATAATGGGTATTAGAGTGCTTTGTGCAGGAGAAGGGCCTATAAATTTCTTCATTGTCAGCAAAGGACAGTAAGTAGCCTCTTCCTTTAGGTATACTTCTGCTTAGTACCAAGATTCAGTGGGATCCTGACTTCTTTAGTTGTGCACATTTTATTCACAGGCCTCTAGGGCAGGCTTCCTTCCTGAGCCTGCCTTAGGACTGGCGTTTACTTCCACCATCTCTGGTAATGAATGCCAGCCTCTCTCCCCCTCCAGACAACCGTCTCTACCTGTGTGATTCTGCCCATCCCCACTCGTATGTGAATGAGGAACGCGGGAAGGAACAGATGGGCGGGTGATGCTGACTGATGCTGGGCTCTGAGCCTCACGTACAAAGGCAGTACGAGTCTCACGGTCCACTACACCAGCGTTTGTGGCTGCGCACCAGGCTTTGCATTATGAGTTTTCTTGGTCAGTTTTCACAGCAATTCATGGTCAGGGTGAGGGGATAATCTTGAAGCTTAATAACCTCTAAGCTGTATTTATTATCTATTAAATTTACTTCTTAGGGCTAGAGTTGGCTCAGCAGTTAAGAGCACTTGTTCTTAGCAAAAGACCCGGGTTTGGTCCCAGCACCCACATGGCAGGCAGCTCACACCATCCATAATTCCTGTTCTGGGAGACCTGACCTCTGTGGCTCCAAGCATGCATATACACACATGCAGGCAACGCATTCATGCACAAAAGTAAATGTAAAAATTGTTTCCACTAGTACCTTCAGAAATAGATGGTTCTAGAAATAAATCTCAGGAACTTTAGTAATGCCCTCATGTAGGTTTTTTGTTACACCTGTCTTCGGTGTGTGGCCCTGTGACCTCCAGAACCAGAACTAATCTGTAGGCCTGTCATGATGGCGTCACTTGGTTTTTTATAAATGTGTCCAGTGTTAACAGCAATCAGGTCTCACTTCCTTTAAACCTAACCATTTTTAGGTCTCCATTTTGTTTAATTTTACTATTTTGTATGTATGGGTATTTTGCC